CGAAGAAATCTATAAGAAATACATATATATATATATATGCTCTTTATGGAGTATGTCAAAAGTGAAACATTTCTTAGTACATAGTTTAGACAACCCGAAAGCCACACTGACCAATGCAATGTATCTAAAATTAATAATCGTTCAGTTGTACGCAAATCCACACTCTATTATATATAGGAAGAAGCATCGAAGAAGTCTAAACTTAGCTTTTCAAAGCCTAAATCAATCTACCAACTCAACGTACTGTTTATATGTAGCTGCTAAGTCTTTAAGTCTTTCTTTATACCTCTTATTTGTCTAGAGTCGCATAACTAAACGTATAGACTAGTAGATAATCTAAACATTGATTATAGAGCATAAAGGAGATCTGCCAAAACTATAAAATATATATTGCAAATCAACTTGAGATTGGACAATATTAAATTCAAATTTACGTATCCATATCAAAAATAGTTTCTCAGTAACATATTACCAAGTTATATATTATTATATATACCAATTATATATACCCTTACCTAGTCGCAATAGTTTCAGGGTATCGTAAGTGATTTCTTTTTTTGGCAATGCGTCACGGATAGTTTGTTCTACACAGATCCAGAATAAGATTAGCAATCATTAAGGGTTCCATTAGAGGCATAATTCACATTTCTTTTAATAGAAAATCCTCAGCAGAATAAAAGCAAATTCAAATGCCTCAGCAATAAATCAAAATGGGAAAACATCATCAACAACAACAACAACGACAGCAACGATCGCAAACGGAAGTCACAGATGTATATACATACATACATATGTATATATGCTTGTATTTATACAGAATCGAGTATAAGTATATCTACTATATGGTGCGCACACACAAGATTCCCATACATCTATACATACATATATGTACATACATATATAGATATACTTTAAATATATTTAGAGACAGTCGCAGACAAGAAAAACAAAGACGACGACGACAACGAGTCGCAGCGTCAAAGACCGATCGCAAGGGAAAATCTTGCTGAGATTTTCCGCCGTTCAGCTGCGAGTTTTCGTGAAAATTCGCAGCCGTAAACGGGACTGTAAAATGTTTAGAGCAGCGCAAATTGCAAACTATGCGAATTGCACATAAAAGCGTCACGAGTCTAGCGACGTCTTTGTTTTTGAGTGCGTCTATCTCGTGGCTGTGCAGCAACAAAAATAACGCACATTTATTTATAAATCACACACACACACACACGCACAACAATTTTAGTGGGTGGGGCAACTCACAGCGGCATGCGACGCGTGCCAGCCACACGCGCCCTTCGACTCGAATCTATTCCAAATGTATCTGTATCTGTATCTGTATCTGCATCTGTTGCTGGCGAAATTCGTATTTCGTCTTTCGTATCTGGAAGTTGTACTTTCGATTCAATTACACTCACTTAAATCCGCGCACGTAGCGTATTTGTATTATTTTATTTATTTTGATTCGCCTTCGACTCGCTTTCGTATAAATCGGACAATTGCGTCGAGGCGACAACTGAGAGACGCGAATGACGACTGCCAACTGAGGCGACGCGCGTCGCCGAGATCGACCCCAGACGCAGCCCAATCTCTGTCGTTGCTTCTGTCTTCTGCCTTCCGTCTTCTGTCTTCCGTCGTCTGTCTTCTGTCTTCTTCTCAGATTTTTCTCACGGCCGCTCGCCAGCATCCTGACTGTTTGTTCTTGTTTTGCTGCCCGCTTCACTCTCCGCTCTGGCGTCTCTTGTTTGTTTGTTTGTTTTGTCTCTGGCGTCGCGTCAAGTGGATTCAACGCAATTGACTTGTGAGCCGTCTGTAAATACACTCACACCCGCACACACACACGTACGCACAGCGGGTGTGTGACTACTCGGACATCGCTTGCCCGAATATCCATGCATTCTCTGTGAGCTACCTGGCCGCAGAATCTATCGAGGCATTGCTGTGCCGGCGATCGTTGCATGCCCCATAAGATTAATGTCCCGTTGCAACTGTTGCTGCATCTCAGCTATTTTTAGACCTGCCTGCGACAATATTTCTTGTGGTAGCTGCGAATGAACTAAATGAACTGCAGTCAACTGCATCACTCTTCTCTCTCTCACACTCTCTCTCTCTCTCACACTCTCTCTCTCTCTCTCACTCACACACACGAAGTCTTACTCCTACTCCGAGCGGAAATGTGCCTCAGCTGAATGATCGACACTAATTACAGTGCGCAATGGGTTTATTTTTGCCGTAAAGAAATTATGATGGCAGATTAACGAGAAAGAACATTGTTGTGTAATAATATTTTAGAAATGTTATAAAATATTGGTATGTAATAATCAATTAATATTAATATCAAATTAATATTGCTATGTTAACTATTATATTAAAAATATCCACATATTCTAAATTTCATTTATCATTAAACAAAATTTGTTCATTTCTTTAAATATGTAAAAATGTAACAAGAAACTGACACTCACGACTTAAATATTTTTTTTTTTTTATATTCACAGCATACAAATATGTATTTATTACATTTTTATTTGGCATACACATCATATAATAATAGTATATCATATATATATAAATGTAATTTTATAAATTTTATAAAAAAATATAAAATTCCAATGCAGTTTTAATTTTATATATGTAGATATATATGTATATATTGCATATGCAATTAACTTAGTAGAATGAATTAAGTATTCAAAATGTATTTAATATTTGAAATAAAGAATAATATCTAATGAAATATTTGAGAAGTATTCAGTAATAATCTATTAGCTTACCTAAAAATAAAATGAAGAAGCCGGTCTTAATTTGAAGTTCACTACAAAAGAATAAAAGATAAATTTACTAATTTCATATACCAATATTGTAATTTTAATAAAAATATACAAGTTCTATATATTTTTTGGCTTTAATTAAATCGAACACAGCATAAAACGAAACGGAAAATGAAAAGTAGCCGAAGCCTAACACATTAGGTCTTAACTTTTTTCAAATATATTTTATCGTTTAATTAATATATTTATGGCACACAATAAGATTTGCACCTATTACTTGAATCAGTGCTAAGTCCCATCATATATTAATATATATGAAGAATTAAATTGCTTTATTATATCTACGAAAAACAGAAATTGTGATAAATATCAGTAAATAAAAAGTAAAATATAATAACACATTAAATTTATGTATAACAAATAAAACAGACCCATTAAAATATGATTATTTTGATTTTAGTATCATGTCACAAATAAATGAATGAATATTTCTATCTAATTTAGCCATAAATAATTCTAAAAATTTTGCTTAGTTAGGCCAAAAATGGTTTAGTACTCTTAACCCATATATTATTATTTTCTTTTTCTGTGCGCTTTTCTGCTAATAGCGCCCACTGTGCACAGATCATTTGGTTCGACTTTAAACTTTCAGTGTGGTCGCCCTGAGCCTGTCGCCTTCGAATCTCAAGTAGCTGCCAGCTCAAATGTTGTCACCAAATTTGTTTGTTTACGTTGCGCCCCTGGTTGTGCGGTTATCGTAATTCGATGCCATGAAACAAAAAATACAAAAACTCTGTGCAACGCGCCTTGAGGCGCCATCGAGGCACAGAGTCGAGCGCATGTCAAGTGGCCAAGCAAGCCAGCCTCAAGACCCAAGTCCAGTTCGTATCCCTATAAGTGTATGTGTGTGTGTGTGTGTGAGTGTCAACTGCCAACTGTCAACTGTCAGATTGTGGGCCATTGTTTACGTTTTGTGCTGCGGTGCTGCGGCACCTGCGCACTGGCCACATAAACAATCCGAGCAGCCTGTACCAGAAACGAATGTCACGAACGGAATGCAAACAAGTGGCTGTGGCAGCACGCGACAAACTGTTGCCCTTGTGGAGAGAGACTGCCCAATGCCCCTCCTTTTCCCCAAAATCGATTGGTGGAGGACATGCGCAGTGGAGCAGCTGCTGGCTGACATATCGAAGGAAACTCCTTTTGATGTAGACACAATAATTGCGGGGCATGCCACTGAAAAGTATCTGGTGGTGCTGCTGCGTGTGCAGAACGTTCCCGTGCTTCGTCTGTAACGGTTCATAACATTTCTAGTGCGCTTTTACTGTGTGGCCAGCGTGTGCGTGTGTGTGTGTCTGCTGCGTGCGTGTGTTTGTGTTTGTGTCTGTGCCTGTGCACTCGAGTAACAAGATAATAAAAAATAAACACAAAGTCAAATTTGGTTGCCCGTTTAATTTGCATCATTTGTAGTCGCATTACAAAGTCCTTCATAAGTTTGCTTTTTGCATTCGATTCGCTGCTGACTGTGTGCGTGTGCGTGCGTACGTGTGTGTGTGTTGCTTTCTTTGCCTTGGTTGCTCAACACGCACTACCACTCACGCTCACTCTGACACTCACACTCACACTAACACTCACACTCATACAAACTTAACGTACATCTACTCAGACCAATACACACGCATTTGTGAAAAGTGAAAGTGACGCCCCAAACTTGGAGAACGCGACGAGCTTTGACCACATTCATCTATATACACAACAAATATATATATATATATATATTAAAATATATATATATAAAGAGAGCTAAATATATAAATCTTTTGTACTTCGTCAGAGCGCTTATCAAAGTAATTTCGTAATTTCGTAATTTCGCCTAATTCAAATCTGTTGCTGAGCTCTTTCTCAATTTTAAATCCCCATTTAATCTACAAACAGCCCTCGCCCCACGCCCCTCGCATCGTGTGACCCGTGGCCCTTCTATTTATGCGTAGCACATACCAATTTTTGCACACACTTATACACAGCACAATTTGCTTGTCCCGACCAACAACAACCCCAATCTTCAATCCTCAACCCCCACCACCCCAAACCCCCAAAATTGTCCACGCATGCTGTAAATTCAATAAATACTTTTCGGCATTCATTTTGTAAATTCTCATTATTCATTTCTTTTTTTTTGGCCTTGCGATTCGCTTTTCTTTCTTCTTTTCTCGAATATTTCCAAATGTTTGCAGTCAAAATGATATAATATTAAGCACGCTGACGGATCTCGACATCCGTTGATTTAAAAACTTTATACAATTCTCAAACCGAACCACAAATCAAATTCAATTCGCAACAGGTAAGTACAAAGCATTTTCCCCGCTTTCTTTATTTTTTTGTTATTTAATTCAACAGGGGTTTTTAGTCTAAAATTCAGGTAACATTCAAAATTTGTACATTTTTAATTATATTGAGCAGTTTTTTTTACCCGTTTTTCGTACTTTTTTCTGCATGTTCAACACTCATATTTCGATTCATGACGTTGAAACCCTGAAAATCCCCCTGAGGGCGCCCTGCGCCTGCCCGTCAAGGACCGACTGTACATTTATCAATTTCCCGTTGCTACTGTCTACAATTGTTGTTCATGTTGTGGGGAATCATTATGCTCGTTCGCCATGTGAAAGGAGTATATTGGTCTCTAAACAAATTCTGTAAATTTGCTCTTGAGTCATTCTTAAGGACCTGATAAATATATAGCTATAAACCAATATACTCCAACTCACACAACTTGTTTAAATATTTTTAACGTTTTCTTGTTTTCCAAAACTTTCTATATATAGTGTTATATTCGTGTAGTAAATTCCTTTCAACGTCTACAATTTTTACTATTTTTAAATTCTGAAAACCCTTTGCTTTTATTAAGTCACAAAAGAGCATCTAGCAGTCGGTAATGTTCGACTGCAGCATACATATAGGATGTAGTTGTTATTGGTGTTGTTGTGGTCCTTGTGTCGTGGCTCCTCTCGCTATTGTAGCTGTAATTTATTTGCCTTTGCTACGTTCAAGGACACATCCAGTGCAGGTGCTACACGCACGGCTAACCACAGACGGGCACACAGACAACCAGAGACAACAACTGTGGGGCTGAACTGTTGTTGTCTGTGTGCCTGAATTACAATTTAATTACTTGGGGAGTCCTTGCAGACTTAAAGGATCAGCGCCAGCCACTGAGGCAGCCTCGATGTGTGTGCTATATATAAACGCCTTTTTCCAATTAAGTTCCGTTTTGGCTGGCAAGCTAAGCCCATAGCTCGAGCTAGGTCCTGAATGGCCACAACGCAACCCACACGGAAATCAATGCTTAAATGTCAACTGAACGCCTGCCTTTCTGTTTTGCAGTAAACCCAAATGCCCGAGGCATTGATACTACCCGGCATGGCTGACGCAGAGCCGGACTTATCAACGTTCGAGAATAAAACGGGACTCGCCGAGGACATGAAGTTCCTGGCTTCAATGCCCGAGCTATGCGATGTCACTTTCCTCGTTGGCGACACCCGCGAGCCCGTCTGTGCCGTCAAGGTAAGTGTCAATATATATATATGTATCTATAGGATGAACGTGTGTGTGTGCCTGCGTATGCGCTCGAAACCAGGTCACTGCGTAATCGACGTAGCATCCAGTCCAGTTGAGAGCCCTATCCTTTATCATGATTTCTTCCTGTCACAGGCTGTGCTGGCGTCGCGTTCGCGCGTTTTTGCCAAAATGCTCTACGCTGCACCGTCACCGCAGCGAAAGAGGGAGACTACCACCAAGGAGAACAAGCTGCGACTCTTCCTCAAGCGCTCCTCGGAGCCCCTGCTCAATCTACAGAATGCCGCACAACAGGTTCGTAGTCTCAAAATCGATTCAACTTCAAAGGGGAGGGCTTTGGATATGTGTATGTGTATCTGTTTGTATCTATGTGGGTATGTGTGTGTGAGAGAGAGAGAGAGTATGTGTGTGTGTGTGTGTGTGCTGATTGGGGCATCTATTCGATTTAGAATCAATGGATATTCTGTTTTATTATTTATGTACATTGTTGTAAATATGTATTTACTAAATACCTTCATTAATATCTATGTAACTTTTTTTGTGCGTACTCTGTTGTGACTCCATCCCCAAACATCCAAACATACATAAACCGCAAAATTACAAAATAATCAAAATTAAACACAACACCAAAAATAATATCCATAATAATAGAGAACCGGTTTCACCCAACAATTAGCTCCGATACCCGAGGTAAACGCTTAGTTAACCAAAGCGACAAACTCTATGTATGTGTGCGTGTACGTGTGCGTATATAGAGTAATTAGTTATAATTAGTAGCTGTGTCCTAGTTAATAGTACAGTGAATCCTCTGACTCTATAAAGGAGTAAATTGTAATCTAAAATTTATATAACTAATCTAAATTTTAAGTAATTAAAAGTAATTAAAAATTACGTAATTTTTTTTACTAGTTCAAAATTATATTCATCGAGAGTTCACTGTACTTACTGTGCGTATGTTGTATATAGTATGTGCGCTTTAAGGCAGGCTTTGAAGAGACACTAACCATTATAAGCTGTATATATTTATAAATGTCTAGTACTACTCTTTCTAAAACTACCATCCAAACTGCATCGAAAGCTAAATAAACTTAATATAGAATACGACAAATTTATTAATATTTGTAACACTTTGATCTTGTTTGTCTTGAAGAGTTCGTTAAACCAATCTTCCTCCTTTCTGCTCTCTACTTGAACTAAGTTTGTATATAAGAAATATCTTCTTTAAATATTATATCTTCTATATTCTATCGCTTCCAACTAACTCTTTATAACTATGTCCCTTATGCCCTGCACTTGACATTTATTCCCGTTCTATAGATACACTCTGTTCTATAAGTATATCTACAGTTCATGTTTTATGTGGCTAACTATCTTAACTAATCATTGAGCTTGTGTTTGAAGTGTTCTTGCTCTACTAGCCTCTATTAGCCGTAGTCTCTTTCAGGTCATTCGAAATCAGTTTTGCTAACATCCGCTTGTTTTTACAGCCCTCTGGTCAACAGCATCAGACGCTGATCATTGAGGAGTTCGAGCCGGATGTCTTCCGTCAGCTCATCGAGTACATTCACACCGGCTGCGTGACCCTGCAGCCGCGCACCTTGTTGGGTCCGTATTGAAAGCAATTATGTATAGATCCTTTTAGCTAACTTAGTTTTTCTCTCTTGTAGGCGTCATGAATGCTGCCGATTACTATGGATTGGAGGAGCTGCGTCGCGCCTGCGCTGGCTTTGTGCAGTGCTGCATCAATGTGGACACCGTCTGCGCCCTGCTGGCCTCCGCCGAGCGGTACATCCAATACAAGTGCACCAAGACGCTGGTGCAGAAGGTGCTCGAGTTCGTGGACGAGCATGGCAATGAGGTTCTGAATCTGGGCAGCTTCACACTGCTGCCGCAGCACGTAGTGCGCCTGATACTCGCCCGGGAGGAGCTGCGGGCCGATGAGTTCACCAAGTTCCAGGCGGCGCTCATGTGGAGCAAGAAGTATTTCGATAACAATCCGGTAGGCCTTCAATGATCCCCAAGGGAAGATCGAATAACACGTGCTTTCCCTCTCCCGTCCAGAACATTGACATCAAGGAGATATTGGGAACCTTTCTGGAGTATATTCAGTTCCATAAAATACCCGCCAATGTGCTGATGCGCGAGATCCATCCGCTGAACTTGGTGCCCTATGCAATAATCATGAACGCTCTGGCCTACCAGGTGGGTTGTGTGCTCAATCGTCCATTTGCTGTTGGCTGCTTTGCTGTTTATATAACTCAGTATCATTCATGCCGCATCATTTGTCTGTCTATCTATCCATCTATCCATCTACCTGTCTGTCCATCTGCCTTTCCATCTGTCTGTCGATGCACTATTTAACCATCTGTCGCCCATCGCCTATGCTATCCATCCTGTTGTCCCCCTTTATGTCTGATTCTACAAATTGCAGGCAGACCCAGAAAGCATCGACCCCGGAAAACTGTCTCCCAACTCTAGCCGAGTAAGGCGAGCCCGTCAAAATCAAGGAAGGTCCATGTCCGTGCAGAGCTCGCTGGACCCGTACGGGTCGAACACCACGCTCAGCTCCAGCGGCAGCAGCGACCCCGCCAGTGGACCGCATCACAGCAACTAACATAGGTTGAACGGCCCCTCCTCCTCCTCCTCGTCCCACAACCAGCCACACCGCCATCGCCACCACCACCAATCGCTGCCCAAGATACGCAAAGCCAAATCCCAATCGTTCCGCACTCGTCGCAGCCCCTCCGAGCGTCGCAGTCCCAATGCTCCGACTCTCACCCTCAACACAAACGCTGCCAGCAGCGAGAAGAAGCGCAGTCCGCTGACACCCAAGAGTCCGGTGCTGCCACAGCCAGAATCCAAGAGTCCGGGCAGCAGCTCGCAGAAGACGCCCACCACGCTCTCGCGCCAGGGCACGCTGCGTGCCTCCAGTCGACGTAAGAATAGCGGCCAGTTGTCCATCTCGCTGAGCGCTCAGAGCCAGGGTCGGCGCAGTCCGGCGGGTCTCAACGATCGCAGTCCGCAGGGCCGCCGGAGCCCGCTATTTCCCAGCAGCGGCCTGAGGTCCCCGAATGAGCAGCCCAGTCCGACGGCGCGTAGTCCCACAGGGGACTCTCAGCGACGCAGCCCGACCTTCAGCATACAGATCCATACGCAGGAGCGCCGCTCGCCCCTGGGCGCAGTCGCACCCTCGGACTTCAGTTGCCAGGCGGGGCCATCGAACACGAGACGCAGTCCCACATCCACTGTGCACGTGCAGGACATGGCCACAGAGCCGGAGGAGACCGGCTTCATTGGGCTGAAGCGAAACTCGATAAGTCTCTTCACGCCCATTTACTTTGCCAGCGAGAAACGAAGTCCCATGGGACCCATACCGCCCATTACAGTGTCCAATCCCGCCGAGACCTACAAGAGTGCAGAGCGCGAGCGTGAGGCAGCCGAGGCGGCTGCTCGGGAGAAGGAAAAGGAAGCCGCCCAGGCCCAGCCGCAGCCCGAGAAGAAGAGCGTTATGCGAGAGATCTTGGCCTTTGTGCGCAAGCCATCGAAGCACCTGACGACGCGCACCAATCGCTTTGCCAATGCGTTCACCCGGGCCGAGTCTGGCTCCTCCAGCGGACCGCTCATACGGCAGAGCACGTTCTCGGCCAGCCCGGCTGCCTCGTCGACAGCCGCCAAGAGTGCCGTGCAGAAGCAGATGTCCGAAGTGGGCTTCGAGCCGAAGATGTCGCTCAAGTTTGCGCATTACACGAAGATGTCCTTGAAGCTGCGTCGTCTGGCCCGTCGGGAGGAGGAGGAGAAACAACATCAGCAGCAGCAAAAGTCATCGGCGGTCAGCTCGGCGTCCGGGTCGAAGCGAGCCAGCACGGACTCGAATGCGGGCAACGTACAGGATCAGGTAGGTGCAAGCGGAGCAGAGGAGGAGCTGCCATTCGAGCTGGCGAATGTGCACTTTGAGAAGGTAGGTGAGTCCTATATCAAGCATGAGCGACTCCGCGAACTGGTCGAGCCCGAACTGGAGGCCGAGGACGAGCCCGAAGAGGGCGAGCCGGAGCAACCGGATGCTGCCATGGCGCAGTTCGTCGAGGACGTGACCAACTCCCTGAAGGTGGTCGCACTCAATGGCGAGAACGGAACACCGGCTGTCCATCACTTCACGCGGCGCTCCGAGAGCCGGGAGCCCATCGAGCCGCGAATCAGCGAGGAGCGTGAGTCCGACTCGAATGATCTGATCATACCCGACGATCTGCGCGCGGAGCTAACGGAGATTTTGAAAGCCTATGCACCAGAGCCAGTTTATGTTAATCTGCAGGCGCTGCGGCGCGAAACCGAGGAGGCCGAGGCGGTGGCACGTGCCGTTGCAGAGGCAGCCGCCGCTGTGGCGGAAGCAGCTGCAGCTGCAGCTGCGGCGGCACCGTCAGCGCCCGAGAAGCTGCCGCTGCAGTGTCCTACTATTGAGTTTGAGCCGCCATCGCGTCGTTCGTCCTTCGATCCGCCGCGCTCGCCGTTCCTGGAACAGCTACGCAGTCCGGGCGTCGATACGGACACAGATCTGATCAATTTGCAGCGTCTGGACTCCGGCGGCGACAGTTTCGAGATGGTCGACGGCGATCGCAAGTCCAGTCGAGCCGAATCCAGCTTCGATTGCCCCTACTCCTCCCGTGACACCAGCTTCGATGTGTCCATATCCCGTTATCAGTCCACCAGCTACGAGGATCAGACCTCTAGCTTCGAGATCGTCGACACGGACGATCGCCGTCGACACATTGATCTGCGCAAGAGCTCGATTGAGCTCGTCGATGCGGAAACCTTTCAGCGTTCCGGCTCCTCCTGCGGTCGCAAGTCCTCCCTGGAGACCCACTTCGACTACACGCCTTCGGAGACGAGCGGCATGACGCCGGCTCGATCCCCCAACTTCCCCATGACCAAGAAGCAGAAGACCGAGCATTTCCGCCAGCTGCACATCTCGCCCTTCAGTGCCTTCTCGCGGGCACGCAGCCCGCTCTCGCAGCAGACCTCCTCCAATTACAGCTCGCGCGACAGCTACGACTCCAGCTCATCCTATCCGCATGGCCATGAGCCGCAGCGCAGCCCCTACGCTGACCCCAGCAAGAAACACTTTCCGCTGACCATCAAGCAGCGCGAGGAGGAGGTCAAGACATTCCTGTGCACCGATGCGCGCTGTGCCTCGATATTCGAGCCGCGGCCCAGCTCGGTGCTCACCCAACAGCTCTCCACGGGCTCCATGTCCACGCCCTCCGCCTCCGGCTACACCAGCGCTCCACGCATACCGAGCGCCTTGAGCGGAGTGACTGGCGTGCCCGCCTCTGGCACGGGCGTCGGCATGCCCATGGGCATGGGCGTAGGCCCGGCGAATGCCTCGCTGGGTTCCTGCGGCTTTTCCAGCGGCAGCGAGTTCGAGCCGCCCTCGCCGCGGCGGGCGGCCAGCGCCTCGCCCAAGCACACGTTCACATTCCGCATCGTGATGAAGAAGGTTGACAGCTCTCCGGAGGCGCTGTGCCCGGAGCGGCATCGCTCGCGCATCATCGATCGCTATCGGCGCCGGGATAGTCGCCGCAAGCGCATCCACGATGCGGGCAAGAGTTTCTAAACGGCGATCGAGGGCACGAATTAATCAAATATTTAGATAAGCCCCCAATGTTAGGTCATAGAGATCGAGATAGAGAACTTTTTCTTAAACTTTCATCAATGTTCGCTCCTCACCTGAGTCAGCAACCCATTTGTATCTTTTGATCGACATCTCAATCCCAGGCAGCAATCTGTGTGTGCACTGTGGGACGATATATTTGTCAGCAGGCATACAGTTTTTTTCGACAATCTAAGTGTTATTCAATCCAAGGATTTGCCACAAGCAACTCCCTCGGCAACCCTCTAGTCGTAAGTTCTTACAGAAACTCAATGCGAAGATCAAACTTTATAAAATGGTTCTGGTTTTTAGGCCGTTTCAAAACTCTATGCTAGGTATTTGTATTTGTAAATGACGAGTCCTTGAATAAATTTATTTATATACATAAAGATATATATATAGAATGTATAGGCTAAGTTAGATCATTTTTACATGTAGGCTAGCACACTTCATTAACATTTAATCATCTTCAAGAATAACGCTCGGCTCATGCTTGCGAGGTACAAATGAAAATTTACACTACAAATTTGTTGCTAGGTTGCTTGAAAAATCTCAAAAAAAAATATTAAAAAAAAAAACAAACAAAGAAATTCTAAAAAATCTACAAAATATATGTGAAACAATAATTCCTCCCACGATTTACCTGATTACTAATTAACAGATAGAGAACATTTGTATGTATACATGATAAATGTTTATCTATACTTATATATATATATATATATGATCTTTCATTAATGTTAATAACTAAATGTTGTAATGTTTGTGGTATATTGTGAACAAATATTACGAGTATGTGCGCATTTTACGTGGTTCCTGTTATATAGATATAAATATATGTATAAATATGTATTACAAATTTTGATGAACTCGCTATTATATATATTTATATATGTATAATATTGTTAAATGATCAATTCTTGATGTATAAAAGTCTGCTATTGCAAGGGACAACGTTTATTGTTTAAACTTAAGACTAAACTAAACTTAACTAAGGAAAGAATCGTTAAATCAGATTTAAATTATATTAGGCATACGCTATATATACCCTGTATATGTATGTATACATACGTGCATATGTTAAAGTAAATCTAAAGCTGGATTTGGGGCCGTACTTAAATCTTAAAAGAAAAACTTTTGTGCCGAAAAATATTTTAAAAATTTAAAATTTATACTTAAAGAGAGCCAAAAAAAAAAAAAAAAAAAAAAAAAAAAACAATATGGGATAATTCAAATTTCGTATTGTTCATGTTTGTTTGTGAGAGAAAGAGGAAACTAAACTTAAGCAATCTATGTGGTGTCTAAGAAATTCGTAAGTTTATTAACTAAGAGCAGCTGTCAGCATAATTTATATAAACCAATGAAAATTCGAGAAATGCAAAAGCAAAGCAAAAGAAAATGATATCAACATTTTACAGGTATTTACGCATATAAAGCATTTAATTCTATATACTATATACATCTATTAATATATTTATTGTACTTACACGACATTGACAACAACAACAACAACATGAGCCACATCTGCATCGGCATAGAGTATGCATATGTATGTACTATATATATGATAAACCCTGCTGTGCAAACCCAAAACAATTTTGTTCGTACAACTAACATGAATGCAAGTAGTTGAAATGTTGCTATATTTTGATTTGTAGTTGCTTGTTTTTAAAAACTAAAACGAAACGCTTGACAACAATCCGTAGTACTCGAAAGCGATGTCAATTTTGATTTGCCTGTGTATGCGAGCGCTTGACAGATGGCTCCCTCTGTCACTCTCTCTCTCCCACTCTGTCTGTGTCAGCAGAGGGAGAGCAAGAGCAAGAGCGAGAGCGAGAGCGGGAGAGAGGCGAAAACAGCCAACTACAAATTTCACAAATGCGACTTTCTTCTATTTACAGACATTTTACCTAGCGGATTTATTGGATGTGGAATGCGCAGGCGTGGCCATATGCATTTTTATCACAAATAATTATATATAGATATTGAGTGGGAAAGAGGGGAGAGGAGAGAGTGAAATAGAGAGAGTTGCAGTTGGAAACGTGTTCTTTACAGTTCAAGTTTATACTTTATGCGTCTCTATCGTTATCGTTGCAGTTATCGAACTATCGAACTTATCATAAGTATATATATGTATATGTATGTGTTTGTGTGGCCATTCGTTTCGCCAAAATTATAGTTTATGTGCGTTTTATTGTAACAATTGATGAATAAATCCCGATTCAATGTCGTTATTTGAAAAAGAGAAGAACAACTTCTTGGAATATCCACTTTTATTATTTGCTCGGCCCTTACAGGCGCGCATCCGTGTGCAGGGCGAGGACGCCGTCGAAGTCCTCGGCTCCGATGTGAATGTAGCCATAGCCATTGCCGTCCACCTTCACCGACTTGCCCGTACAGGCGCCATTCACCAAGTTGCCGGAGATGACGTCGCAGTACTCGCCCGCGGGCAAGCAGGTTTGCAATGTCTCCGAGAGGTCGTAGAGGTTGTTGTTGAAGGCGACGAAGCCCTTGGAGCCGCGACAGAAGGCAATCTGGTTGTCGCCATTGTCCCACCAGTTGTTCATCTGGGTGCCGCGGACGGCGTTCTTGAAGGCCACCATGTTGTAGATCTGGCGCCAGCGATGCTCACAGATCCAGCCGTTCATGCAGCCGCCGTCCTCATCGAACTCCGGCGAGATGATGCGCTCCTGGGCATCCTGGGGTGGCGCCTGGTCGCGATCATCGAAGCCAAAGGAGCTCATCACCTGGCTGATGCCATAGGGATAGGCCAAATGGAAGGCGGTGGCCATCTTGTACTGCTTGGGCGACTTGTAGTTCAGCTCCTGGCCGCCGTCGCGCTGATTATCGTGGTTGTCCACGAACGTGAGTGCCTGCTCAGAGGGCAGGAATCCCCAGTCGGTGCCCCAGCTCGATAGCCATTTCAGCGCATTGTTGCCGCGGAATGCCTTGCCGATTTCCTCTGAGAAACGGAACTCGGTGACGGCTCCCAGGGGCGTGTACTCATCCCGCGAGACCGTCTCGTGGCCGTGATCGATGACCTCCTGGTAGATGAAGGGCCGTGCGTTGTTGGGGAAGCCGTGGTCTGTGTTCAGGTTGCGCGTGTGGCTGTAAATATACTGAAATGCTAGTTAAATATTGAACTGTTCCAGCTCCAGCTACTCCAAGTCTCACCTCCAGATCACTGGCAGCCATGTGCTTGGCCGCATCCACGCGGAAGCCAGCGACGCCGAGGGTGATCAGGTGATCGAGCACCTCGATCAGCTGCTTTCTCACGTAGTCGCTGCTCTGGTCGAGATCCTTGAGGCCCACCAGCTCGCAGTGCTGCACCTGGAAGCGATCGTTCCAGTCGTGGATCTCGCAGCTGGGATGGAAGTCCTGCTGTGTATAGGGCACGCCCGGGAAGGATTTGCTGCTGGGCTCAGCCACCGAGCCGCCAGTGCCTCGGGCAGTGCCCAGCCAATCGCCGGACATGTGATTGAGCAGAACGTCCACATAGATGCGGACGCCCACATCGTTGCAGCGACGCACCATGTCGGCGAACTCGAGTTCGTTGCCGGAGCGTGTGATCAACCTGTAGGAAATGGGCTGATAGCGCTCCCACCACGGACGACCCTCGGACACGATGTTCTCGGCCACGGGGCTCACTTGGACGCCCGCATAGCCATGCGGAGCGAGAAAGTCCTCGCACTCCTTCGCTATGTCCGCCCACTTCCATTCAAACAGATGCACGATGGTGTTGCGATTGCCCCACCAGTGGGGATTGTGCTGGGCCACCGCCAACCCGACTAACAAACAGACTAACGTCAACTTAAGCATGGCCAAGAACTGTTACTGAAAGCCACGCGACGATCCGCCCTTATATACATACGCCATCTAATCTAATCAGCACCTGACCAGGGATTTACAGGCTTCGTGTGGAGCCAATTTACTGCCCGACCAATGGCGAATTTTAGGCGAATTTATGACGGCTGCAGCTGTCATGTTGACCTATGGTAATAGTCTTCGAACAACAACATGACTCAGATGACCAGCCAAAATATGTGTATTTGCGATAATAAATATTGATATGCCTGGCAGAGAAGCTTCGCTAACTGTATTTATATTTACAATCCATTCGTTCGAACTTTGAAGCAGACAACCTCTTGGGCCGTAGCCAAAACATACTCTGTGATTATGACAATTTTATTTAACCACGATACAGTTTATTTAGAGTTTTGTTTTAAGTTTATTAAACTTGAAAGATCTCAAATTGTTAATATTTGCTTATGTTTTATTAAAATTATTCCTTGTTTTTATTCTACACAGTTTTTGAATTTTAGCTTTAATCGATATTTTATATTTTTGTTATGCGATAGATTTAAGTGCATAGATAACCTGAACGAACTATCGATTAACAATCAGTCGCCCATTAATTCATTTCATTTTCTATTAATAAGTAATATAATTTTTATTTCAAAATTTCATTATAAATTAGATCAAAAATTAATTATTTATTTGTAATTAAAGGCAACTGCTGGTTTTGTTGCTAATACCTTGAAAGTTGAGGTATGACACATACATGTTGCTAAGTGTTGCTGTTGCTAGACAGCAGAAATGTTGCAAATAATTAAAAAAAAAAAATGTATATATTTGCCGGTGTTTACCATGTTCATATTGTACTCTGTGTGTGTTTCATGCTACAAAACTCAAAATATTACTAGTGGGAATTTGAGTCTGCATTCAAGTTAAATGTTGCAAAACTCCAAGGAATTATTTTGAAACCAAGGGCTTGGATTGATGCGGATGGGTAATTGTTGCAAAGCTCTGCTGAATATTTGTATGAAAAAGCTCAAAGTGTTGCTAAACGGGAGGTGCTGCAAAGCTCTATAAAAGTTGCAAAGCTCGAAATATGCCTAAGCTAAATGTGGCTAAGCACGTTTAAATGCGTTTGATAAACATTCTCGAAATGTTGCCAACTCAATTGTAGCTAAGCCGGATATAAAGTTGCGAAGCTTAAATAAAATATTGCGAAGCCAAAATGTTGCTCCACAATACATTGCTAGAGTATTTGTGGTTCTGGGTTACGCTTTTACATTGCCGTATATTTATTCAAGTTCAATAATATATGGCTGATGTCCGAAGTGCTTATCAATCGCACGCTGATTAGTTACGACCTGAGATATAGAAAACAGATTTCTGCCGAGTGCTATTTTTGTGAGGGGGCCAGGCAAAGTTTGGCCGTTTGTGCCAACTCTGTAACTTCTGACGTGCGCGGCATTCCTGAATGTAATTCTTGTGCAGTATAACTGTGAAGTAGTATATGATCTCCACCAAAGACAACATACTCATGCCCACAAACAAGCTGAAAGCGCTGCCCAGATTAGCTGCAACCGAAAACAAATGAGAATTTACACAGCTCAGTATTATCGGTCGCTCAACTCACAGACTAGGGTGACCATATTTGACAGCAGATCTACACGCACTCGCCTATAAACTTGGGAGTTGAGAAAAATATGAACAATGGCATCATTATGCTCGATTCCCTTGCTGTAATGAGAAGTATGTAGTGAGTATAGCATCATGCAGAAAGAGGAATAAATACCAACTAGAAAGGATCCACAACTGGCATATCGAGCTTGAGTTCAAAGTTCGAGATCTGCACATCGTAGTCAAAGTGTTCACAGGTCAAAGGGCAAGGACACTGCGTTTTCTTTCTGCGCGTTATGATTTTGGCTTTTGGGAGATATAAAATATAATTAATTTATTTAATTTAATACATTTAAATACTTACGAAAATTATCAACCAGACAGGGTATATCACGGAACGTGCATACCCGCTCGTTGGTGCGGTTGAACTCAAAAAAGTAAGTATGACAGCCGCATAGCTTGTCCATGTTGTTGGCTCGGCAGTTGAGCTCACAGTTGGGATAGACGTAGTTCGAGAAGTAGCGCAGCTGAAACTCATGCCTGAAGATGCAATTTCTCTGTGCGATGGGCAGCGCCTTGACGGCATCTGAGCAAAAGGTCTCAACGACGCGCAGCGTGGCAAATGATTCGGTGTTGAGCCCCAGAAACTTGCAGTCGGCATGAGCGCTGGGAAAGGCGTCCGTCTCCTGGATGAGCAGCTTGAAGCCATGCGAATAGGATTTTAGGGCATCATAGTTCTCATCCTTGTAGCGGAGGATTAAAGAGAGCCCATTGTCCAGACCTCCAGCAGCAGCCTGAGCAGTGAAGTTCAGCCTGAATATCAGATAGAATAGAGCCCTATTTATATGGATTCATATTGTTGACCCACCCGTCCTGGCGCAGATTGAAGGAGCAACAGTGCCCGAAGAACGTCTTCGACAGCTGGAACAAGCGCGTGCAGTTCATAATCTCTCCATGATAGCGACAGCGATGTAATATTTCATGGCAATCCCAGCGCAGTTGGTCCACAAACTGAATCAGGGTCAAATTATTGACCTGCAGCACGGACTCCATTAGCTCAACCTCTGCCGAGGAGAAGCGCTCGTCGTCCAGCATGAAGCCGCTAAAGATGTGCAAGGTCTGCAATACGTCCGATGTCTGAACATTCTGCGGCAGTTTCCTAAAGGAGATAGACAGAGGGAGCTAGAAAGAGGGCGCTAGAAAGAGAGAGATTGTTTCACCCACAGTGAGTCGATGTACGCCTTGGACTTGTCCATGTTGAACAACACCTCGGGACAGATGGTTATTGGCGGAAAGTAGAGCCGGCTGACGGGCGTGTGATCGTTCTCCACATTCATGCGCGTCGGACTGCTGCGGTAGTCCGCATAGAAGGTCAGCGTCATGACAATGGCGCAGATGAACATCACAATCGAGATGAGAATCCACACGAAGTGCACCACGCGATTTGTGTCCTTGTCGCGTGTGTACTTCAGGCCATGTATGCTGCTCGTCGCGCAGAAATCGCACCAGGTGCGCCTCAGAGCGCCATGCAAAGCGGAAATCTTTGGATCGATTTGGTCCGGACTGAGTTCCTCCTCGTGGCCCATTGCTGACTGGACGAGGGCTGTGCCTCGAATACTGATTTGAGACATGACTCTTGTTCCCTTTTTATATGCTATTCGAGTGTTCGAGTGTTCGAGTGTTCGAGTGGGCGTGGCAGCCATTTGACATGGAAGCAACTGTTTATTAATATCGAATTAGTGTAGGGCGTGACACTGGGGTAGGTGAAGATTCTTAGCTGGCAATACGAGCAATATAGATACTCGATGGGGAATCTTTGCTGAAGAGATTATACTATTATACTAGACTACAGAATTATGCTAAATTATTTTATTTTATTTATTAGAAATTAGAACTGTTTTGAAATTGAGACTAACTTAAAATTTAGGCACTGACAAGGAAGGTCTTCGGCTTACTGGATCTATTAGTTTTCAATACTAGCTGGGCCATCCCATCTGAGGAAATCTGAAATCAGCTTTGTATACTCTTTAGATTAACTCTTGAACTAACCATTGAAATAGCACACAACTTCTTCTTACATTCATTTTTCTTCCTATCGCTTGCAGTTTATTTTCTATTCTTTTTCTATATTCTTAAATAAACTCCTTGTCCGTTTAGTAGTCTTATTACTTCAACTCTTTTCTTTCTGTTGTCTTCTTTCCTTTTAAGAACCTTTGAGCTTCGAAGAACTTTATTTGGATGTACCTGAAAACTTTCCAGTATCCTCTTCTCTTAAGTTCTCTTTTCCATAATCGTTAATATATTGTTCCCTTTTCCTTAAATATGTGGGTGTTTCCTTATCTCTGATTTTCGTAGAACTTACATTATCGAATTCATTCATAATTACTCTGATAGGAAAAGATTCTAACGAAATTACCAGCACGTAAGATATATTATTTCATATGTATATATACATATAAATATACCCAAGAATCCCTTCAACAGTTTTAAGTTGGTTTTTAGCAATTTCGAATTTTATTTGCAAACTCTTAGTGTCTTTTTTTTCTTGTACGTTGAATCGTTTGCATACACACAATGATATATTTATTCATATCATATATTATATTTTATTTTTTATACTTTATATATATATGTATATAGAAAAGTATTTAGTATTTCATTCATGGTTTAACAATATTTGTTTACTTAACTCACTTCAATTGAATTGACTCTATACAAAAAGAAAAACTTAACTCTTTGCTATCACAATGAAAAAACTACGCATTTGAAATGGTAGACGATTGAATACCCGTATAAGGCACGGCACGGCACGCATGGCGTTGCACGGCCGAATATAGTTCGACTATGTTTACAAAATTAATGTGACTTGGATTGTTTTGTGCTCAGATTAAATCAAAATTGTATTGAAATTTTGTGGGCCACTGACGATTATTGTCTTTCTCAATGCTTGAACTCTAAGGGTTCGGGCAATGCTAATGCGGTAACAACAACTTTTCGCTTAGAGTATAACTAACTAAATTAATAACTTAAACTAGCTTCTGTGTAGTGTAGTGTAGTGTAGTATAGTGTAATGGTAATTACTGCCTAGACTCGCTGGAAGTGATGGCCAGCGGCGCTGAATTGCCATTGCTTAGCCTTCCGATTGGTGTCTCATGGTTCGTGCCGCTGTTGCTCTCCAGGCTCGGCTTCTGCTCATCGTTGTCGGGATTGTCCCAGAACTGGCGCTCGCCGGAGCCGAAGATGTTGTAGAAGGTGCCGCAAATGATGTACACGAACGCGGCGATGAAGAAGACAATCTGCCACTGTCCCATCGTGGGCTGCGCAATGCAAAGGGTTATTGAGAGAGTTATTGGAGATCTCGGAGCGAAATGTCTGATCGACTCACCTTATCGTTGATCAGATTGCCCGCAGCAATTGGCGCCAGCAGACCCGCCAGATTGGCCAAGCAGTTCGTGATGGCCATGAGGAAGCCCGCGAAGCGCGGCGTCAGGTCCAAGTGGTTGATCTTGAAGCCCGAGTAGATGCCGCCATTGAGACCAACGCCAATCGTGAGTATGGCCAGAGTCAAGGCGCGATCGCAGCCCGTGTACGAGGCGGCAATCAGAGCCAGGCCGGGTCCATACTGGCCAATGCTGTTGATGATCTTCCTGGTGGCCGTCAGCGAGAAGCGGTTGGAGCTGATCAGCCAATCCGCAATCACCGAAATGAACATGGAGAACAGCCACATGGCCAGGTAGGGCAGGGAGCTGAGCAAACCGTTGGACTTCAGGGAGAAGCGTAGCACCTGCTTCATGTAGGTGGGCAGTTCCGTCATCAGGGTCTCATAGCCATAGTTGTGACCCATGTGAGCGAACAGAATCGCGTAGAAGGGCAGCGACTTCATGATGGCCTTGAACGGAATGGGCGGGCTCTGCAAGAAAATGAACCTATTAGCTACCTAAATAGCTTCTCTGGATGGAGCGTTCGCCTACCTTGATCACATCTGTGCCCCAGAGGCAGTCGTTGATGTACCGCTTCTCACGCTCGTCGATGCGAGGATGTGCTGAGGGATCCTCATAGACGAAAATGAGGAAGGCAATGGACCACACTGTTCCCACCACGCCAAACACATAGAAGATCGAGGGCCAGCCACCGGAGAAGCCGTACTCAGCCAGCAGGCCAGACAGCGGCATCGAGATAATCGTACCAAACTGAGCACCTGCATAGACTGCAGCGCCCATGCGGGAGCGTTCATTGGGTGGTATCCACTTGGCCAGGAGAGCGTGCGTGCAGGGAACAATGGGACCCTCGCCCAGGCCCTGGATGAAGCGGATAGCGCAGAGGCCGTAGACTCCGCCTTCGCGAGCCGCCACAGGCACCAGGAAGGCGAACACGGAGTTGATGAGCATGCCCCAGCCGAGGAACCGCAGAGCACCGTATTTCTTGGCCAATATGCCGAAAGGAATCTGCGTGATCACATAGCCATAGAAGAAGGAGGACAGTATATAGCCCTGGACACTGGAACTCCAAGCGAACTCGCCATCTTCTCCATTGTCCTGAGAGAGAGAGAGAGAGTAAGATACTTGTTATCGATCAATAATCGATCAACTTACGACTTCCAGTTCCCGATCGCCGCACTCATCGTCGAGGATCTCCTCGCCCTTCTGAATGGCTGTGTGGTTCACCATCGCCACAATGGCCACGGACATATTGGTGCGCATCACGTACGCATTGGCCATGCCCAGGAAGAGCATGAATGTGACAAAGTAGCGGGTGGTTGCCCAGCCTGCGAACACAAACAAATAAGAGAGCGAACATTTAGTAATTCCTTAAGAGAGTATGCGAATCAACATTTAATTACGGCCAATTAATTCGGAAAGTCTGTCGGCACTTGTTTGTGCAAAGATCTTAACGAGCTCGGAACGGAAATGAGCAAAGAAATGAAATAAAAACAAACACTTAATTCTGAGATTCATAGAAAAGAGTGAGAATAAAGAATGATCGACCAAAAGATGACCTGTACACTGGCATGCAAAATATATGAAATTAATGTATTGGAATCTCATTTTTTCGCTTCATCATCATAACATAACGGCAAGTCGTCTGCTACGAGTATTGTCAGAAAGACATTGTAATCTATTAAGCCCTACAGTTAACGTTTTCACTGGGTATAAACTGTTACAAAACGAGGCTGCAGCTATGAGATAATAATAAGATAAGTAGCATCCAGATCAGATAAGATTGTACATAGTATCTAAATGACTCAATGCCAGCCAGATGTATCACAGACTGCTAGACCGTATTCTCATTGTTTTTTTTTTCTCTCTCTCCAGACTCGTTTTTAGTTACCTCACGTTTCCAGCTATAATAAAAAGCTTGCGAAATTCGAGACGCTGCTGCGAGTTATTTCTAGACCAATCCCGGAGTGATTTATAATGTTTATATCTTTATATGACATATATGTACATAATACTGATCGTATATTTGCAGTGTCATGCGACAATAGGAACGATTGTCTCGGCGCACGAGCACGAACAACACGTGATGCTCAATTTGCTGGCTTGGCATTTGAAATCGTTGGCGATTACTTGTTCTAGAGTTCAAGCTGAGTTTGGAAGGCACAACTGTATTTTGTTAATGCTCAACTTGGCAAATGGAATTTGAACTCTCAGCCATTTCGTTTTGCCAGCTAGCTCAACAGACCGGCAATTTTATTGCTTAGGCTTGGAATTGTTCTGTTTTGCGTTTATTTTCCACACAACAACAATTTTCCACTAAATATGACATAGAGCATTGTGGAAAATCCGGACTGAACAATTGCTGAATCGAAAATCAGAAAGCAAAGTCTACACCGAAAATAATTGCATTCGTTCGCGTTTTTATTTGTGCGCACGCAGCGTTAAATCGCGCGATTTGTCAAAATACCTACAGTCTACTCTCTCTCTCTCTCTGTCTTAGACTACCCCCCTCTCTCTCACACACATGTTGCACAATCAGTGCGGCATATGCAGCACGTGTACGTCGCGCGTCAGCACAGGGCAGCCAGCCACTCGTGCCTGCCTCGACTATTTGCCGATATTCGCTCTAAAATGGGCGAAATGAATAAGATTTTAGCTATAAATATAACGCATACGCAGCGTGTGCGGATCGTGAGTGTGAGTGTTTGAGAGAGAGAGAGAGCAGCAGAGGGGCAGGGGAGAGCATGTAAATCACATCTGCATACCCTTTAATGACCGATAGGCTTACCACATTTTTAACAACTTGACTTTCATATAACTTTTTTTAATTCTTATTTTTTTTTTAAAATTTGGGATTATTTTAAAGCTTATATAAACCAAAAACTGTTTGCATGATTTCAAATTTAAAAAAAAAATTGTTTTCTTTAAGTGTTATATAAGCTTTTAATTAAAAATCATTTTTAGTTTTGTTAAACAAATATTTCTGCAATTTTACTTATTTATTATTATTATTATTTTTTTTTTTTTTTTTATTAATATTTCAAAATTATATGTATATGAAAATAAACTCATTCGTTTTATGATTTGTTTGCTTTAAAGATATTTACGATTTAGATTTTAGACAAACAACAAGCAAATTATATTTTTAAATTTTTGTTCTATGCTTTGTTGAGTTATTGCATTAATGTTTGATCTAACTGCAGTTTCAATAACATTTAGATTACTGTATAGGTGTCTCTCCCCTTTGACTGCAGACAACTTTTTTAAACTCTCATATTATTTTTCTAAGACTAAGTGGAGAAAGTATTTTCTTCCGCTGCCTTCCGAAATTCGCTCACATAGCACTTTCACCTTGATGCTTACCCTTTGGTCTGTCGTGCAAATTATTCTGATCCCAGACAAGGACATGGCCATCGCGATGGCGATGATTTAGCTTGCTGCGTCGAAAGGGCATCTCGTCTGTCTGCCTGTGCCCGTCTCTTGAGGTTCTCGAGTTGTAAAAATAAATTAATGTAAACTAAACTAAATTCGAATCGATTTCGCGATGCGTTGCACCGAAATGCTCAACGAAATACGCAAATTGCTTGCCGCTGCTCTTGCAAGTGATTTTGTGATTTTGCAGAGTTACTTTGACTTTTTGCGCACTCGTTTAAACCATTTCATTGTCTATCTGTGCAGTGGGCTGGGCCTGAACATGTCGCGGGTCAAGATACTACAAATGGAGCTTATTAAAAATGAACTCTTTGCGAAGCGCGCGTTGCACTCGAGAGAAGGTGTAGACGCGACTGAGCTGAGCTGAATTGTTCAAATCCAATTTGGAATCGCCGCTCGCGTTTCGCTTGTTGGCTTGTTGGCTCTTAGCTCTTAGCTCTTGGCTCTGTGGGCGCCTTTGCGGGAACTGAGCGCCAACTGTTGCGCTGTCCGACTATATAATAAACGGGGCCGAAATCGCGCGAACGTCCGAGGCGCAAGCGCCTCAGATTGAGAGAATGCGAGAAAGCAAGAGAGGTAGAGCGGAAGAGAGTGGAAGTGGGAGAGAGGCGCCGCGATTACATCAACTGTTTGCTCAGTGAGGTATGGTCCAAGCATATGTCAGACTATAACTGAATCATCAGCTGTTGAACCTAACTCGATTGATGTCAATTGCTTTATATATAGTACAGTCCGACCAGAAGATCTATTTTTAGCTGTTAGACGTAAGCAGGCATCTCGTGATGCCTGAAGCAAAACTCGACAAGAACTAACTCGAGTTATGTATGCCAAAACCAAATGTTATTTGCCAAATGCGCGACCAGACTTTGGATATATGTATACACACATATAATAAATTATAGATACATACACATATACACAAATACATGCACGTATGTGGTAGGAAATTATTGGGAAAAATGCTTCAAGTATTGAAACCTTAGAAATAAGAGCCAAAGCCGGCACGAGGCACCGGCCTTCGGCGTGGGGGGGCATGCGGCCTCTGGCGCCAAGCGACAAAAAGGGGGGATTGGTTTTTATGTTTTGTACGGGGTGAGTGCTAAGTGCTGCTAAGTGGTGCCCACTGTAGGCCCCTCTCTAATTACCAATTAGACGTTCCGTGTGGCCATTATAAAAGCGCAATTCATTGCATTGTCAGGTGCTTGCTAATTTGGAGAAATGCGCAAAAAAACTAGTTAAAATTCAATTTTGTTAATATACAGTGGGCATGGAACAATAGCTTGTGAAAAATATTGCGCCGACAACGGAATACACTATGAAAGTCAATAATTCAATTTTAGAATCGTTAATTGTTGAAGATGTGCTATAAATATTTATAATTATAAATATTTATGAAATTCACATTAAATTTTTTTACTAGAATTTAACTATGTAATAATGGTATTAATATATATCAATAATATGTTTTATTTGATATTTTCTAAATATATTATATCACATATTTAAAAAAAAAAAAAAAATAAAATATTAATATAGTTTTATTGGCTTGACTTTTTTTAAGAAAATGAATATTTGTTTTTCTAATCAGCTCATAATTTTGGTATTTTGCTATTGAAGTACATAAATAATATTTTGTTAAGTTTCCTTATCTTTATATATTTACTATTTTCCAGTAATAAATTCGAGCAAAATTATATTTATCTGCTAGTGCATATACCCCATTCAAAGAATTGTCATGACTCGACCGCACACACACTTAATCACGCGTACTCACACACACACACAAAGTCGAGTCATAAAAAGTCAAACCACATGTTGTTTTCGAAGTCTCGAGTCAGCTTTAAGCAGCAGACGAGAAACTTTGCCGGCATGCGGCGAGTGCACGTGTTTGTCGCCTGATTCTCGAACGGGCCACCGCAAGTTTCGCCTCAGGCAAAAGCAAAGAGCGAGCGAGAGAGCCGCTCAAGCCGACAGACGAATGAGCTTCTCAGCTCAGCTGGACTATGGCCAGAGCTGGTGAAGCACACAAATATTTCGTCTTGATTGTATGCGGACTGGAAGTGTCGGCAAATGTTATTGTTATTGTTATGGTTTGCATGGCGCAGGCAACAAGTCGAGAGAGATGTAGAATGACTGAGTAAGTGAAAGAGAAAGAGCGAGGGCGAGAGTGAGAGAAGAACCTTGACACGCGATGTTCGTGTTTTGTCAGCTTTTTTTATTTCGTCTTCTTTTTTGGCAAAACCTCAAATGGAAATATTTGTTGGCAGGTACAGTCAAGCATTGAGCAATTAGTCAAAGAGAGAATACAAACACGAAATTCATAAAAATAGCAGCTGCATTTGTTCTATTTCCGTTTCATTAACGAAGCGTGCGACAGCAACTGACAACAATAACAACAGCAGAAATAGTGAGTTCAGTTATTTACTAACTGTCATCAAGCGCAAGCAGCACGTGAAGCGTGCAATAGCTCCAAAAGCTTTGCACTCGCAAAGCTTTCGAGTGTATTCTCTTCCCACAAGCGGTTGCCTACTTTGCGGCGGTTGTTGTAATGGCTGGAACGTAGTGTCGAACTACGTAAGCTTTCAACGTAAGGTTTATCGTGTTGATTACTGCGATGCTTCCATATGCTGGCTTTGCTTCGTGCATTGTTGTTGTATGTGGACCGGCATTATTATTGATTGGCGGGGCTAATTTTATTACAATCTGTTCAGATTTTTATTATTACCCATTTGAAATTGAGTAAGGTATATAACATTCAGATGGAATGTATAAAGTAATTTATTGCGCGACTACAGTAGTCGTTTTATTGTTGTATTTTAATTGCTTGAGTAACTTTTCTGTATGAATTTGATGAATGCCATAAACTGAAATAAACAACTGGTGTCAAGCTTAGGTTTTAGGGGAACGGCAGATCAACAGGTGTAAAAATGTTGGGCAAATAAGCATACATACATACATACATAAATATTTATATAATATATTTGCAAATACTTAAAAGAAGTTGTCAGAGTCCAGACATACGCACATAGCTTTAACTGGCTTGTGTGGCGCCCTTTGTAGCCCAACGAAGCCAATTTGATGATCTCATGTGAGAGCAAAAAAAAAAAAAAAAAAAAAAACTATAAGCAAAAATAATTAGTGTAAAGCTCATTCCACATACATACACATTCGTCTATCTCCCCGACAAAATTAATTCGAATTTGTTCATCAGAGTGGGGCCATAGCTGAGCTTTGTGTCGTTTCAATTGCTTCCGTTTTGGCTGAACTACAGTGGACGCCAAATAAATTGCTCAGCGCTAAAGTAATTTCTATTTATCAGGTGTGTCGCCCATTCATTCACTCAATGCCTTTTGCGCTATACGCGGCTTTGCTCAATTGAAATTAAATGCAAATAACAAACAGACACATATGTACATATATATATAAATAGCATGGGCATGAGTAATTTTCGCCGAAAGTGTCGAAAAACCTGCACGATTTTATAATCATTAAAAAAAAGTTAAGTCGAGCTAAGTGAATTTTTGCTATGCCCCGCCCCCTCCTGTTCAACTGAACGTGACAGTTCAACTCAGTTGCAAACAAAAAATTAGAGCTGTAAGCGTCAATTTTCCAATTTAAATGTAGATTGCATTACAAAGACGCTCGTTAAGAACAATCGCCGAGAATTGCACAATATATATAGCATAGTGCTACAGTTCATCCAGGCACTAGACAAATACGAGGCTAATCTATATATGTATATGTATATATCGTGTGGGCGACGAGTGCGAAAATTAACGCGCACTTGCGAACGCCGAGTGCCGAAAGCCGTTGCACCAGCTCCCTCAGATCTGTCTTGTTTCGCCGCAATTTGTGCTATAATGAGACCCGACATGCCAAATGACGAATTGAGTGGATCAAGAAAATCTGATCAGAATGCAATGTCGAGTGTCGGGGCCAAAAAGCGCGCGACATCATCTCGAAATTTGTCAAGCTGCCAAATGTTCTGTGGTCACGGAATTGAATGCACTCAAACATACCCTATGCTACAGCTGTGCGGGGTATACACATCCTGCCCATAGTGTAACAAAGCACATGGGTTGCATATTATAATTACTATTCTATATAATTACTATTCCCCTTCTCTTGTCTTTCAAAAAACTGCAATGATTTCGCTTTTTATTCGATTGCTCGAGTGATGATTAAGTGAATCACAGTAATAAGCAAGATATAATAATAGAGGAACTTATGGAAGAAACTGTGTATTTATCTACATACTAGATACAAAGAAATTATTATGCTTGAGCGAATGAATTAGAATAATCATATTATTTAATATCTTGATTTTGCTGGTTGCTTGAGTGACCAATGAGGAATGTGCTGGCTGAGTTTTAGGTAAAATAAGCCTTTTCAAACCAAATTCAAATATTAGATATACATTCAGTGAATAAAACAAGAGAAACTCAATAAATAATGAATAGAGGAACTGAAGTGTATTTTTTTATAAAGGCTTCACTCTGCATTGACGACCAACAGTTTCTATAGAGTATCTATAAGCCAATCATTCGTAAACAAATACTTTCCATTGGCATCGCCAGCAATGGGTATCCCCTAGTCTATCAGCGCTGTTGCCAATCTGCTCAATTTAGCTATTAGCTAACCACAACGTCCCCCTTTCACTCTGGCAAATGAAAGTGAGCGAGAAGAGCTCTTAAGATCGCTCGGGAATGCCAAGGTTCTTGACACTGTTTAGCAAATTTCCTCAATCGCTCTTGACCTTAGCTCTTGACTGGTTTGCACTTAAAACACAGCAAAATAAAAAAGCTAGTTTAATTTATTGTTGATATTTAGCTTATTTTATTGCTGCTGCAGTTCATTTCCATAGCTTTAAAATCACGTTCGGGTGTTTATTTATTTATTTGTTTTATTTATTCATCTTTTAGGCTGGATCGAGGCGCAGTGCCGGTAACCGGTTTCAGCTGCCAGCCATGGAGTTCCCCGGGTCGCCAAAATTGTATGCGAGGGAACCGATCTGTAAACTGTGTCAAAACACCTCACAGATCTGAGATCGCAGCTATGGCAATGTCGGAAGAGAATCAAGCTCGGGCCATAAGCAGGCAAACAAGTGGGGGAAATTGAGACAAACAGCTGAGGCTCACATTTTGTGTCAACAACTATTTGGGGCCTCACTTCTGAATACCGTTTCGGTTACGTACACCCCCGCCGTGCCGCTAATTGTGAATTGTGAATTGTGAATTGTGAATTTGGCTCACGCGTTGGCGGCGGCAGTAAAGTCTCGTCTCGCTTTAAATATTTATTTATTTGTTATGTCTACTTATTTTTCGTGAATCTTACAAAATGTGCGAGACAATGCATAACAAATAACTTCCGTTTAGCGGAGCACCCGGAGAGGTCGGCCGGGACTGATTGTATTATGCAAATCAAGCGGAATCAGCCAAAGCCGAAGCTGAAGAAGCTATCTAATTTAATCAGCGTCAAGTGCACTTAATTCACATTCATATTCATATTCATATTCACATTCTCACATTCACTTTACAGTTCCTTTTGGCACGACTTTGCTGATCAGCCGTTGCGCCCTGTGCCCATCTTAATAAACAATTAATTTTTGTTATTTAACGATTGAGTTATGCACTCACTAATGCCTGACTATCATCAAGTCATCTGTGGGGACTTTTTTTAACTTAAAATAATAATCTATTTACATTATTTATGAGAGTGGATGGGCACTTTTAATATCAATTGAACTAGTAGTAATAATACACGTGACTACACCTAGAGAAATAGTATAGTTAGCTGCGATTTGGTCTAATATATTTAATCAATTGGAATGTAAAGATACTAAATTGAATGGAATGTACTTAAAACTTAAAACGCAATAAATGAAAAACAATAATAATAAAATAAAAACAATAATAATATAATAAGTTTTCATACATTTATAACTTTTTATACAAAAAGAAACAAAAAGTTTTAAAATCCAAATTGTTGAACTATTTCAACTTGTTTAATAACGCTTATATTGCCTTGTCAGAGACTATCCTCCACTACTTTTAGGGCGTAGAGAACTGTATTAAACTGATTTCTTACTTACAATATCTCTAAAATATCAACCCATTAAAGTCACAGCAAATTTCACGTATCAAATCAAAAAAACAACGTAGATTCTCTGAAATTTTAGGAACCAGATCGTAACCAACTGCGAACAGAGAGACATATAAAAAGTCTACATACATTGTTTAGTTCATAAAGCTGAACTGCCGACACTTCATACCAGAAATTAAGAAGACAATAATAATTATATTATCTGTGATTATTATATGTCGGAAACAGTTTCACTTAATGGACGTCGCGATAAGATCTTCTCTTAATAATACACTGATCATATAATGTGAAACTTACCCAGCTGTGGCTTCTCCGGATCCTTTTCGGAACTCGAGCAAATAGCTTCCTTCGATGCAGACATTGTGTGTGTTTGTTTTATATATGTTACTTTATATATTTAAATAATTATGTTAATCTAGTACAGTCTTTTGGCGGATTAGACACGAGTTGCACTAAAAATCTCAGTCGAGAGCGTTACAAAAGTCGAAAAGTTTTGTAATTGTGGTCAAGCACGTCGCTTGGCTTGGTTTTTAAGACATTTTCGTCAAGCACTTAATAATATTATTTTATTATTTTTATTATTGTTTTTATTATTCTCTTCTTATTGTTGTTTTTTGCGGTTAGTTTGGCTGGTTCGTTCACTCGCACAGCTTGAAATGTTCTGAACGATTAACGGCAAGACGCGTTGCCTTTAAATGAGCCGCTGTCAGAGCCGTAGCCGGAGACGGAGACAGAGACAGAGATAGAGAAAGAGTCTCATGTAGAGACGGAGATAGAGAGTGAGATGCTCCGACGTCTGTTTGCACGTTTAATTTTTGTTTTGTGCTGTGCTGTGTTGTGTTGTTTGGTTTGGTTATTGAGCTGTTGACTTAATCTCGAGCGGAAAATCTGCGCATGCGTCTCGTCTTCGCCGACTCGGCCGATCCAGAGATCCAGACACGTTAATCTGTAAGTAGCGTAGATAAGAGCAAACATGGCAAATTAGTTCGATAAATTTAGCAAGATGCGATCCGATTGCAAATCATTGGCATTAATTGCTCAAGTAAACGCGAAAAGCAGCAGCACGATTTCAGATCTCCCTACGCACGTTTCCAATAGATATTTCGATGATCTATTCAAATATATTTATCTCTGACAAATATTTGCAATGAGTTGCCAAAAATGATTGCGTGGGGGCCTTTATCATTAATTATATTGCTTAGATGGATGTATAGGCGGCATTGAATACAACCCAGCTAAAGCTTTCTAGATATTCTGGTACAGTACCGTACAAACGCTTTATAGCTAAGTGTCAACTGTCTCAATATTTGCTCGAGTCCAGCTAACGATCTGTAGTTAATTATAGTAAGCTTATATTACTTGATATATATACATTGTTTCATTTGGTATGCCTTTTTGAGTTGCTATACATATATTCTAATGCTATACATATATATGTTAATTTCTAATAATTATAAGTCATTAGCTCAGCTGTTTTTATTTATATGTTTAACCCACAGCTGATGATGTAATTTGTTGATCGCTCCACACTAATTACAACGGATTTCTCTGCAGTCCCAAAAATAAAATAACAAAACCACACAAATTTTAATGATTTAAATGTATAAACAAACGAAAACTGGTTACGATTTTGCACATATATATTTCATTAGGTAAATCAATTACCATTCGCCTTCAGTATGCGCCCAATTCTACCGAAATATCATTAAGTACTTGTGCATGTACATATGTATAGAACGGAATCTCGATTGGAATTTCAATTAGTGCTTTTTCTTCGCGTGTTATTTCACTCCGAACTTCGGTTTTAGAAAGTATCGCAAGTCTACCGAAGCTGAGTTTGGGCCGAGGTTTGAATTCGGCAACAGAAACCTGAACAGTTGTTTGTTTGTGCGTTTTATTATTTGTTTACCTCTTCGTTGAGCTTATTGTTTTTCAGCAAAAAATTTCCGAGAATATTGATTTAAATACAAAGCATTGTCGAATTCGGCTTGTCAACCGCCGATGCATGTATTATATACATATATATGTAGCTTGAAATCAAAATATAAGCAATTTTATGTAAAAACCCCCGATTTTTATCTATCTTCTGGTACTTCTCTAGCAATTCTCAACCAGCAAATTATTTTCCAATATTTTCATTACTTTTGCTTACTGTGCCAATAGCTAAAAGTACCATATATATAAGTTCCTTTGATAACTATTCAAACTGAAAATGTCCATGATATTCATTCTTGTACATAATTTTTATTACATTTTGTAACTACATTTTTTCATTCATAAATCTATTCTCTCTATGAATATTGTATTACCTAAATATTCAATTATTTCTTCAGAATTTGCCTTTCACCATTAGGTTTTAACTTATAAAGATAGCGCTTTCCTTTATACTTTTTAAAGTAAATTGATTAGGTCATTAAAATAATATCAAAATCATTTTCATGAGCAGTATATTTTATATATTAATTTGGAAGGATCCTCTGCTGTTTAAACAGCCCGAGTCAACAGTGTTTGAATTGTGCCGACTTTGTTGTCAACAGAATAGTTATCGGTTAGTGGAATTAGCGCGTTTTGCAGATGATCTCAAATAAATAAGTCAAAATATGATAAGATGCTGAATGATTATGCATATTTCGAAGCTGTTAAGTGATTGTGATGAATATATCACTCCGGCGGTACATAAGTCTATTTGATGCACTGTTAAACAGAGATTGGTAAATCAATTTATTTTTCGGATAAAACAAGGAACATTTTAAGACAATTTTGTTAACTATTTACATTATTCATATATTGATATGATTTCACACCTGTACAATTTACGAGACAATTATCACTTGGGCTGTGGAGGTCAAGTTTTAAGCTATCCTACAGCCCTACAGCTAATTGCAACTGGTTTCTTGAGAAACGATCCAATTATTATATGTTTGAGCTCATAATTGATTTCGAAATTGGCTCAAAAGCCAAGAGCCGAGACTTGTTAATAAATACACTTGCTTTGTAGTCTAGTGTAATTTAGTGAACAAACAACTTGGGTTTTTTGTTAGATGCATTTATTTAATAGGCAGTTTCTATTTCAAGCATAGACGGGCTTAAATATTAATAAATAGCGATGGATAGAAGTGCACGAGATCCTATAATATACATAAATCAGTCAGAAAAGTGTGCATGCCTTTCCAACAAACACATTAATATACATATGTAAAATACAATGCGGATCGTATATTGGCAGGTAATGAAATAAATTATGACTTTAATAAAACATTGAAAGAAATTGTTTAATTCAATTTACAGCCAATTGAACGAAATTTTCAGAGCTATGGAACGTGTGCCTGATGTATCTGAAGTGTTTTTAATTCGTTTCATTGGTTTTCATATTACTTTTTTTTTATTTCTTATAAATAGGCACCATCATAAACATATTTATGAGTGCTATTTACTGATATTGAGTGATAGCTGACCAGTTGCCAGTTACTGGGAACAAATTGCGAACAGCCTTCTGACGGATTTATAGACGCCTTACAATCTGTTCAATAGCTAAAAAAAAAAAAATGCTAGCCTAATCTTAATATTATTATTAATTAAAGTTGTCAACGCGCAGCGCTGCCCTATCAAGAGGTCGTAAATTAAACTCACTTATCTGATTCCAACTATCGTGCTGGTGCCTATGAATTTAACACTAATATTAGCCAACGGATGTACAAACTCCAGGGTTTTCCACATATTTGCCACTTGACAATCGTATAGCACGTGCAACTTTCCCAGAATTCAATTAAATATGATTTTAGTTAAATTATATATTATTACTGTTAATACATGTATATTTAGGCATATACATATATTAAGAATAAAAATTTTAACTATTTTAATTCTTTTTATAAATTTACAATTTTTTCTTAGATCATTTTTTGGTTTGTGGGCTCATTCTCTAAAGACATATATATATATATTAAAGATTTATCTTTTTCTATGATCATTTTTCTCTTTAATCTGAAAATCAAATCCTTGCTCTAACTGAAATTCCGACTAACTTTTGAATATGATAAAACATTTCCCATATTCGACTCATATAACTCAGTAAAGCACAGTAAATTTTATGATCTCAATTACTGTTGTTTCTTTTCTATTATAAACCCATCTAGATTTATCGCGACGTCATAAACGAGCCCTCCAGTTTTACTTTGTTGTTGTTTATTTTTATAGTATTATAAATTTTTGTGCTGTGTCAAGTCGTCATCTAAATACGTCAGACTGTCAATAACCGTTAATGCTTATGGCCCCTGGTAATACTACTTCAAAATTTTCCACATGAGTTTTTTGATATACAATCAAATAAGAATTTCGCATCAAAATGCGCTTCACGTGCACCAATTTGCTGTACCTGTCTCTCCCTCTCTCTCTCTGCGTCGAGTGCCATTGTCGGCTAGTCTTAAATGTAAATGTGTTAAATTTCTAGTTTATTTGAATTCGCGCAACTTATTCGCACGATAATTGCGCGCACTTTTTTCCTCGCTCGTTTTCCATTTCAATATGTGAGGTTATTTGAGATGGCGCCAGTTTTGAAGTTCAAGTGAGAGAGAGAGAGACATAGAGCGAGACAGACATCACATTCGTCTCGACCGAGTGGCTCTCGATGCGGCCCATTGTGCGATAGGATATTGTGGAGTGTTGATTGTGCGAGTACATTTCTTTTGTTATGTAGCATTTTATTATTATTTTTTCTTAGCACAGTGGGAACTTTTTGACTTTGGAGTGTGCGTATTTGATTAGCTTATCGAGCGGAATCAACTTGTTAACATTTTCTGAGCCAATGCGCTTACATTGAAATTCCAGTGTATTGCACTTGACTAGGTGTGTGGCCTAAAACCAGTTGAATTGTTTTTCACTTCAATGAGGCTTACAAATGGCCAGTAATGAATAAGCTGCCAGGAACTAGACAATTAACTGCATACAATTAACATTAATTATCGATAACCATGCAAAGGACTTGATGAGGTCTTTAACATGCACAACATACGAATGCAAGAGCAAGAGCAAGAGCGAGGCGAATATTCGGCTCGAGTGCAGTTCAATGCCATTTAACATTCGCAAATGTTATTTAACAGTTGTCCGGCTGTTCTTGGCATTACGTCTGCTATCTAAAAGTTACGCTAATTTGCATAATGTACTTAATTAGTTAATTGCAAATAACGTGAATTGGAGCTAACAAACTCGCTCACCTTTTACGATACGCGCCAAACAAATTATTTAAAACAGTTCAGCATCAGCTGTTTAATCGTGTTGTTGTTTTTTTTGCTTTGCGTTTCTCATTTACTTTTCATATATTTCTTACACGCTGCGCAGGCGGCGAATTAATGTTGGCCGCAGCGAACGAGCGGACAAAAACAGAGACCGCACTAAAACTTCGTTAAAAACAATGCAAATAGCTGTTGCTACGTTGCAAAAAACTGCATATGTAAATTATGTAGAGCTTTTATTTTTTTAAGTGAACAATTAAAAAGTGACACTCACGAGTTTTGTTTTTCCAATAGCCGGCACAAATTACTTTTTGCAAAATCTTTTCACTTAGCTTACGTTATAACTTTCTTATTTGCCGGATCCGATTGGAAGTTGCTGTTGTCGTCAGAGACGAAGAGAACCGACTTGGCCGAGCACAAGCGCTGTAATGACTTACTACCTGAGCTAATTGAACGTTTTTATAATTCTGTTTCTGTTTGCCTTTCGGTCGCATTAAAACAGAGACGCAGGTGGGAGGTGACTATCAACAAAAAAGACGACGCTGTTTCAGTTTGATTCATCAGCGCAGCCACCCGAACCTGGCCGAACGGCTAACGAAGCCGCTTCGTGTGCGCGAATAGCGGTTATGGTGATAATGACAGCGTTTATTGGCGGTCGCGATATAAACTATTAAATGATGTTTTTAGTGCCTGCGGCAATTGCTGCAAACAAAGCTTTTATCATCATTCACGCTGTGTGTCGCTCACTCTTTGTCTATCTCTGCCTCTGTCGCACGCTCAGACTCCAGCTCGAGGCGAATTGCACGTGAACTTCGCTAACTTTTGTTTTGCTTTTGTTTCGCTTCGCTCGCAAATGCAAGTGCGAAAGCAAAACAACTGAAGCTGAACCGGTCGAATGTGAGCTTCAACTCACTTTACTCTCTCGCTCTCCCTCGAATTCGCTCGACTTCTCTCAACCTTTGCCGATGTCACGTGCTCACACGAGCACATTCTACAGTCGAGAGCAGTCATTGAACGGCTGTTGGCAGCGGGGCAGACAACGCAGCTGCGTGTGCAGCTCGTGTGATAAGAGATTATGGCTAAGCCTTTTGAATGACATCTTTTACAATATTTACAGTTAACTGTAAACACATTTACATAGTAAATTCGCATATTGACGACCAACGCGACCAGCACGCTTCAATTAAAGGCCATGAACCAGGTAGAGCATTCCATACACGTATGTACAGCTAGCTCCTTCGATATTTACAATTATAAACGACTAGCAAGATAAGCCTTGAGGTCAATAAAAGCCACAGCAGACTGACCGTAGATAGCCATTGCCTCGAATCGTGCACCTATTTAAAGTTAATATAAAACGGATTTAGCACCTTTTGGTGCTATAAAAACGCGAAATTGCCAAATAGTAGCAGAACCGTTATTAATTGAACTGCCGATTGAGACTTAATGAATGGACAAGAATAGAGTCACATGATTTTTTATTGGACAACTAAAACAACAAATATTAAGCTACCACTTCTACTTCCAGGCAAAAGCTTTTTGCCAGGCAACAGCAACAAAAGCTATCGGTGGAGCAGTTCGACAATCTCAAGAACTGTTATACAGAAGATGGGAAATATAGCTAAATATGTACATATTTTGTTTGCTTGACACTTAACTAAAGCAATATGCGCTTATCGCTCGGGATAATCGGAGGAAATAAAGTTTTATTGAGTCTCGTATTTTATAGAAGTATGATCGGCACTTGTTTATGTGAGATGGTATTTACCATGATTGATATTTTAAAAGTAGTATTTACATCATGAGTACATTGGAATTACGATTTAAACTTGGAAATAAATGGCAGATTGTTTATTTTTGGAATAGCTGCTGAAGAAAATGTACAGGATATGACGTGGACATCTAAACCAAAAATGAAATTTAGTACGGTCAAGAAAAAGCATAGAAATATTTAAATTTTATGTGCCTTCGTAGAAGTCAGCAGGAAAACAGCTTTAAATTTAATTGACTCTATGATTGTAATATAAACTACAATAACTTCTGATAATCTGTTGCACTTGGAAAAATTCGGAGATATCCCCTTAGAGTAGCATACCTAACGGTACGCAATTAGTTAAGTTGTTTTCGCGTTTGTCGCTTCTATTGAGGCTCGATGAAAACAGCTTTATAATATTTGTGTCAAATACGATAAGTTTAATTGGACACAAGTCGGGGCTAGGGGCTGGCTCCCTCTTGATGACGGCATTGAATTAAAATGAAATCAAGTTATGGCAACTTGTAATCATCTATTGGGCCTATGATTACGCACGTAGAGCTGCGGCGCACTCTTAGATGGTTATAGATATTTTATTTTTGAATAGTCGTAATGACGATTTAATCATCCAATGCGGCCCGTCGCTTGACGTAATTAATTTTGTAGGTGATTGGGCGTCTGCTTCCTACTGATAAAATAAACATGCTTTTATTATATACACGAAGTTAAGTGAGTATATTGGCTTTGTGCAATGTACTTAAGTTACTTAAATCTTAAGACACTTGCATATTATTGAGATCCTCTATAGATCTAGGATTATATTAGATTATCACACTCACTAGAGGCGGAGATCCTCGTCAGATCAAGGAAATTATTGGCAAATAGGATTAAATTATATTATACCAAATTCTATAGATATTCTATAGTTATTATAATTTGTTTGTATAGACTTGACATCTGTCTATCTTTTTATACAGTTAACTATTTTTCGACCGGTTATCTGAATTGTACAGTCGGTCTCGCCTGATTGCAGCAAACTGACTTATTAATTTTGGTACAAAGTGTGCGTTGTGGATAATTTAATTTTTGAAGAGGTCCAGAACATTATCAGCTGAGATTTATATCTCACATTGATTGAGTCCACTTGAAGTGAAGCCTTCCTATTATCAGCTCAATAGCTTTTGTAGAACACGGGGCGACATCAAATTATTTATTTAAAAATGATTTTCGATTAATAATTATGAAAGGCTCTCGTATCAGTCGAGCATGCTTCACGCGGCACCCTGTTGCCAAGATTATCGGCGTATGGTATTACGAAACGTTACAGCACATTAAGAGCTACAGTAAAGCAGCTAACACGCTTAAGCGTGGCCAATCAGCAAACGATTGTGCAATTATATTGCAGCACAGATTAAAGGCGAAGTATATTCCTTTGATATTCCATGTCGAATGGAATTAGCTATCGCTAAACGCCGTCACAGATGATGAATTGCTATTAAAGCGAGAAGGTCAGAGTACAAATATTGTAAAGCCGCAGATCAACCAGAAGAATGCTCTATTGGCTTTAAAAGCAGGGAAACCAGTTAGAAATGGGTAAAGAGAATAGAGCGGATGTTTCCATTGATATAATAGATATGTACACATAATTCGAAGAAATATATCTCAAGCAGAATGTTATTTTGTTTGCAATTGATAAGATACAATGGTATTCCATACGGTGCTGAAGATACCGACTGCCAAGACTTTAACAGAGAATCGTAGCTGCATATATATATAATCTATAACAAATATATAGACTAGACAGAAAAGAGACTAAGACATGTAAGAATGTTGCAGTCTAGCCCTATCGACTGCAGAATACTCCTTACCGAGTAGTACTCAGTCAGATCTAAATGATTGCATGATGTAGATTTTTCCCATGTGCCACACCACTAGTTCTTATATATACATAATTTTTGGCAAATCAATATCTTGGGTTATCAACACGCGCATGTAGCTCGAGTCTCAGACTCTATCTCTATAGATTGCAGCAGAGCACAGTAGTGCACGACTTCTCACTTTCCAAGTGGACATATTGGCCAATTCTTGACACTATCAGGCGAGTCTACTCACAAGTGTGTAATAGTGGAGAAATGGTTTGCATGCAGAAGTAACGGTTTAAGGTTAAAGTTGTATGATCTAGTAGGAAAAGGACGTAGTCAAGCTTTAAGTACGTCTAAAGCACTGTAAGCTTCATTATTTATTTTTCAATCCGTTTTTATTTTTTCTTTATCGGAAAGCTTTATCACTTCCGACATTGCTTATTGTGAAATATATGCAGATACTCAAAAGCTGTTGTTAAGAGGAAATCATTTCATCAGCTTAACTAGCTTAACAAGTTTACTTTTTACTGCAAAAGGAATTCACTATCGATTGCTGTTAATAGTGCTTTGACACTGATCATGATATGATATGATCATAATACATTTAAGGATTATCAAAGATTTATGGGACTGCTTGGCAAATGCAATAATAACTAAACAAACTGCATTCGCCTCGATAGAGTGGGAATTATGAAAGTGTTAAGCGAGAGGCACAGCAGAGCTGAGCTGGAGCTGATAACCGATAATAATAATAATGGCGAATGGGTCCTAATGTTGATATGATGACTGGGCAAATATGTCGCTCCCATAAAGCTGGCAGAGGCAGCAAAGGGGCCATAAATCTCAGCCAGTCTAATTGAGTGACAGCCCATTGTTTCAGTCTGCCGCCTGATAAGGAACGTGTTGCGGATCGGCCGAGTGACTCCATCACGTTCACGTGAAGTGCACGCCGTGGCTATGCAGATAGCAAGCGGGGCAATAGCTGCGCCAGCCCGCGAAACCCGTGAAACCTGTGCTCTTCACACACCGCGCTTATCTCTTGAATTGCCCCACATCCCTGCACTACTTAGTGCCTGTGATATTTATATTTATTGTTGTTTAAGTTATTGCCTGTTTATTGTTACCTATTTATCGCACGGGCCAATGGATTACACCAGTCTCCAGTCACCAGTCACCAGTCGCCAGACGACGTTGCCAAACAGTTCCATCTAGGCTGTTCGTCAGTCACTCAGTCACTCAGCTCGCTAACGCTATCTGAGTCAAATGCTCTCAAATATTTGCTCAGTAAGTGCAAATAACAAGATTTGCTGCTCATGCAAAAACAATAATAGTTTAATCATTCAATATTTATAGCGCTATCTAATATAAGCGAATTACGCATACGCCATGTTGGCCAACGATTTTATTTATATTGAACGGCTTAAAGTATGCAAAAGTTTTTGTTATATAATTTATTGGAAAATCTATTTTTATGTCTGTCTGTGTGTATATGTAAATAATTGATATATCGTATATATATGTATGTATGTGTTTATCTTATCAAAATGCTCTCATAGCTACTAATCTTAGATGCTCAGATGTATCTATAGAATTATTCTATATATTCTCTTTCATATTCTTCTTCTTCTGTTTTGCTTTTGTCATGCAATTAGTCAGCTACTTATCTCAATTTAAATCTTCTTGAGAATTCGCTCAGTAAGTGGAAAGAAATGCTGTCATCATTAAATATTTATAGCTCTGCCTAAAACAATTCACATTGCGCATACGCCATGTAGAGCAATATGCATATTGAAAGATAACGGCTAAAAGTATACAATAGATTATAAAACTGTAGGAAAATGATGACAGAAACTAAGTATATACATAGATTAAATTAAATTGAATTTCAAGTTGGTTTCAATTCCAAACTCTAATTAAAATATATAGTAACTATAAAATATATCTCGCTCTGGCTCATAAAGTATCGGCAATATAATCTAAATGAGAATATCGAACTTTTGTATGGATGTATGGATTTATAAATAACATCTAAACGGAAATAGAAGTTGAAGTAAATGTACAGTAATCTATGCTACACTCAGCTGAGTGAGCTACGACGATCTATGCTGTACTGTTCGTAGCCGGGAAGAGCGATGCCTTTTATTTGAAATTCTTATCTAATAATTCATGTCTATTGCCAAGATTACCTACGGCGCATAATCGGGCTTGCTCTGTTCTTGACGTATGGTCATAATTCCATGATATACTTATTTAAAAAACATAATAATAAATAGTATTTATGCATTTATTTATTTAGCTTATTTTTTATACCCTGAACCCATTGAAAATGGGAAATCAGGGTATAATGGTTTTGTGAAAAAGTATGTAACGGGCAGAAGGAGGCGTGGCAGACCCCACAAAGTATATATATTCTTGATCAGCGCGACGAGCTGAGTCGATATAGCCCTGTCCGTCTGTCCGTCCGTATGAGTGCGTCGATCTCAGAAGTTATAAGAGCTAGAGAGCTGAAATTTGGCATGCATACTCGTGTGTACCATACGCAGTACGAGTTTGCTTTATTTTTTCGATAAATCGTCCGATAACTGTTTTATCGAGAATAATCGAAAAATTTATTTTGTTTTCTTAGCCTAATTTGAACATTTTTAGACCTGGAGTCTTCAAATTTGGGTTGTATATAAAGTTAATGGATATAAGGATTTTGTAATTTACAGATTTTGGATACCACGCCCCCTTTGCCCCCAATTTGAAAAAAACGCATTTCAAGTACTAGAGACTTGTGCTTTAGAATGTACACACATATTTACCATATAATTACGTTCTGAAAGTTTCATTAAGATCGTATGTCTACAAAAGAAATTATTCAACAAATAAATTCTCATAATATTGCACACACTGCAGCGCAGCCCAAGCGCAGTCGCTGCTTACTGCGCAGTTAGCAGAGCGCAGGCTTATGCATGCGTGTGGATGCATGTGTTTGTATGTGTGCATAAAAATGCAGAATGATTAGAATATCAGCTTAGAGGGTTCAGGGTATCTCCTAGTCGAGCAGTCTCGACTAGAGCCTTCTTACTTGTTATTTAATTAATATGTTGTATTTATCTTAAGTTGTTATTATGTTAGGCGAAATATAAACATTGCATAATCTGGGCTTAATTATTCTTATTCTTATTTATTCTATTCTTATTCATTTGTATTTTCATTTCTTTAGATTCTCCCTGATTAGACGTAATCTGACTTCATCTCAATATTCTCAACTTCTTTGCTTTGCTTCAGCTGTCAAGGGGGCTATTATTTCGCTAGCTCCTCAGCCTATTCGTAATAAACAAATTCTCGCAGCAACAACAGCTATCACAATAATTTCCACAATACGTTAAATCTCTGTTTCACTCAAATATATTTTGTTTCATAAATTTCTTACGTAGTTAATTGTTTCTGACAGACACGCGATGCCTTGCTCAGTGTCCATTTTTGAATCAGGCTCAAATCGCTATCGGCCCAATGTGCGCATTGGCAATTGGTTTGAGGACAACTGCTTGGAGCTGGTGAGCTGCAGATGACTAACAAATAGTTTTCATATAGTAATATATCGATTTCAGGACAAGATGGTCAGCTTTCGCAAGATGCGAGATCGCGGCGAGCTGCTGGTGGAGAAGGCCCGCACGCTGTTCGACAACTTCCAGCGGGAGGTGCAGCTGGCGGCGCCGAAGCACGACATAACAATCGGTGCGACGATCCAGCTGATGCCCATCTACATGAACATACAGGACCTGGACACCTCAGATGTGCATCCAGCCCTGTCGGTGGTCATCAACGAGTACGCCATTCGCACCAGCCAGACCATCAACGAGGACTGCGAGCTCACTGTGGCGCCGTCGGAGCGGCCCTGCGTGCGCAATTCGTTTCGCATTGTGAGCGGGGACGACAAGGATCGGTCGGGCGAGAAGCTGAAGTACGGACAGCGCTTCAGGCTGGAGTGTGTCGAGCCGACGAACGATCCCATCCTGCTGTACAGCGCGCCCAAGCTGAGCAACCTCACGCAGGCGATTAAGACGACTTTCAACTCGAGCAAGCACGGCGAAATCAACTTGCCCTTGGGGCTGGTGCATCGCAGCGTATGTACTGCAAACACCCTCTAAATCCATTGTGTCTATATGCTCACTTCCCGCAGAGGATTTTGTGTCCCGATGGCGACATTCCCACGGCATTTACCAACTGGTACTGCATGCACGTCGATCCATACAAACGCTTCGAGAGCGAAGGCGAGACGGTGCCCGTGAGTAGATAATCTATATTCTACAGAGCATACCCCTCTTTCATGCCCTTCTTCCAGAGCAACGCACCCATGATCATTGTCCACAGTGCCACGAATCGCAATCTGGCCGCCGAGAATGTTGTCACACAGACACTTTTCGGACCCGAGTTTTTGGTTTCTGTTCAGAACTATCGCAATGTTTTCAAGCGCGAAATTTGGAAGAACGTCTGGATGATTAGCAATGGCCATCACACGAGCGCTAAACACGCATAAATTATCCAATAAACGCAGAAGGCCATGGCAACAGCATTTGCTATTTATATTTGTTTTGTTCTTGTTTTTGCTTAGTTTGTTTTGTTTTTATCAATTTGGCACTAGAGGAACTAGGCGATTTCAGGTACGCACTACGATAAGGTAGCTGAATCAAACTTTGTTTTGTCCGTATATAAGAGTTCGTCATCTCAAAGTAACTCTGAGCGAGTTATAAAATAGATTAAAGAGTTTAGATAACTGTATTAAAGTAATACATGTAAGACTCAAGAATAATTAAAAAATATGAAATATCTTGTAAATTTTTCAAGCACTATATATTATAATAGAATATTTAATAAATCTTAAGCAACCAGATCTAGAAATTATTGAATATCTATAAATTATTTAATATTTAATAGACCATAAGCATGTTCTAATGGGGAACTCGCCAAGACACGCTGAAAAACCAAGTTTATTTATCGATTTTTTATCGATAACAATAAAATGGGATGTGTTAAAAATTAAAGACTTGTATTTCTACGTATAGTATTTATGAGTATTCACGAATATTCATCTGTGGTTTACGAGTTTGCTATTTTCATGGGAATGAACGGACAGGCGGACATGGTTTAATCGATTTAGCTTATCGTTCTAATTCAGAATTTTTATATCAAAGACTACAGGGTATACAAATATGTATATGTTGACCACTCGAAGTGAAGGAATCCATTAAAATTATCATTATTAATATTTGGATTGGAATGTATTTAAAATAAAGAATCAATTCCTTCGGCCAACTTTTGCTTTGACTTAGGCTTTCAGACGGTAAAGAAATGAAACGCAAGCTGTCCACATATTATGGCCCACTCTCACTTCCACTCCCACTCTTAAGCGTAACGAGACGAATGTCTGCTTTTCAGATCTCAGATGCCTCACTCGAACAAATTGACTAACAAATTTTTAGTGTTTAAGTTTTTGTTCAGAGCAAACCCAATGTGACTTTTCTGCTTGTTATTACGGTTATAAACTGATTATCAGACACTTCACTAAGACTGGCATCCATCCTTTATAACCTTTTTGCGTTTATTTATTCTTCAGAAATTCTTTGACACACTTGCAAATAATACTTGGAATTATCATTATTTTGAATAGACAGCTGCCAAAAGCAGATGTGATAACGATCTTAATATGGTAACTCATCGCGTGTCCAACCTTATATAAAACACAGCTGTAGGATAAGTATGAGCAATGAAGCTTAAGTCTAAACATTTGTATTATGATAAGAGCTAGATAAAGGCATTCTATGAATCGCTTCCTTTTGGTGTGAAAGCAAATTTTAATTCATGTTTTAAAGAGATTTGTTTGTCTGTGCGTAAACGTAGCTAAGATTAAGTTTGACCAAGAACTATATGGCTAGATAAGCGTACCTATGATGTTTAAGAAGATTTTCTGGTCTCTAGTTACTTAACTCTTAAACAGCATTTTTATTTAATCCCTATCGTTTCGACTTCTTTGCAAAATAACTAAAACTATGCTAAATGACAAGGTTGCGTGACCTTGTTTGGGCTGGGTCGCTGCACGATTTCAAATTCGCACACGGAACTGGAACTGGGTCGGCCAAGCTCCCGCTGCTAGCCTGATAAGGGCAAAAAAGAATCCCACCTAGAGTGCTCCGGCAGGTATAAAACCATCGGCTCAGCCACAGCGCCAACACACTCCACCTCTGCAATGTCTTCAAGCCACAAAGAACTTACTACGCTGCTGCTGCTCCTGGTCGCCATCGCTGGCCATCCAGCCAGGTGCGCGGAGGTGACTCGCATCATTGGCGGCCAGTTCGCGTCGCCGGGCCAGTTTCCGCATCAGGTGTCGCTGCAGCTGAGGGGACGCCACCATTGCGGCGGCTCCTTGATATCCGACACGATGATCGTCACGGCGGCCCACTGCACCATTGGCCAGAGCCCCAGCCAGATGAAGGCGGTGGTGGGCACCACGGACCTGGCCGCTGGCAATGGCCAGACGCTGGACATCGCTCAGCTGATCATCCATCCGCAGTACAATCCGCAGACGCAGGACTTTGACATGTCGCTCATACGCCTCAGCAGCCCCGTCAAGCTGGGCGGCGCTGTTCAGACAATTCAGCTGGCCGACGCCGATGCCAACTACGCGGCGGACACCTTGGCCACCATCAGCGGCTTTGGCGCCATCAACCAGAACCTGCAGCTGCCGAATCGCCTCAAGTTCGCCCAGGTGCAGCTGTGGAGTCGTGACTTCTGCAATGCCCAGAACATTCCAGGACTCACGGATCGCATGGTGTGCGCAGGACATCCCAGCGGACAGGTCAGCTCGTGCCAGGGCGACTCCGGCGGCCCACTGACTGTCGATGGCAAGCTGTTCGGTGTCGTCTCCTGGGGATTCGGCTGCGGCGCCAAGGGTCGCCCGGCCATGTACACATACGTCGGCGCCCTGAGGTCCTGGATCAAGCAAATGGCAAATGTTTAGACCAACTGATACGACGAATAGACCCGATGCGAAAACGAATAAACTATTTACTATTATATATTAGATACATAAGTGACACGAATAAATTATATTAAAAACTTGTTAATAATGAAGTAGAAGTTTAAATGAAACAAAAATTAATTTTTTAATTATGCAAAAACTTAAAATTGTTTGTTTTTGATTAGCCCTAAAAGTAGGCAGCACTTTTTATTGTTGGCGTAGCTTATCCAATACTCAAACCTGCTTACTGCGACTGGTTTGAGTCCAATCAATTCGAAAACAAATTTAGTACATGTCTTATCAAATACTCAAACCTTTTATGGAACAGCATTGTTATAAATTGCATTTACTTCACAGAGTCCCTACTTTTCCATTTCGTCAATTTTAGACCAAGAAACCGCATTCTTTAAATTTATGGAATTATTAATTTTAACTGACGTTTGCAATTATATATATTAATAATTTATTTACCAATGATTTAATATTAACACATTTTTACAATTTTCGACGTTCTTCGGATTATCCATATAAATTTCAGTTTACTTCTGAAAAATACTTTTGAGCTCGGCCAAGTTCAGGCTGCTTCCATAACTCCAATCAACTTTAAACATGATCAATCAATCTTTTTTTTATATAAACACAATGTTTTTCTTTATTTGTAACTTTATTTTGTGTGTCCTTGTACAACTTGTGTAATTGCTTAAGTACTAGACATTCACTACGCGCTTAGGGTATTATTGGATCATTATCAAAAATTTCTTAACCACATTTATGGCTTTTGGTTTGTACGCTAAATGTAAACGTTGAACGTTCCTACGATCGCAAATCAAACACGGCATGACAGTAGCTCGATATATAATGCGTGATTATCAAATGTTCGATTATTTACATTTGCGCTATAAAATTGTACAGTTTTCGTATATATAGATATATAAATTTATATATGCACATGCAGGTATTTACAGTCGGCTCTGTTTGTGACTCCAATGATGACCCACTAGGGCTGGGCGCGCAAACGATTCCACAGTTGCTGTTTAGTAGTAGTAGTATGTCAGTTTAAAGTAGAAGGCACTATTGCATATTTGTCTTAAGATTAAGTACCTAGCTCTATACTTTAGTGATATCGATAAGTCTGTCTGAACTGCTGATGATATAATATTCTACACACGAAATGTAGCTACTCTATAAGCTGGCGTTGTCTAACAAACGGGATATGTAGTCCTTGTTGAGTTCATAACAAAATGCAAATGAATATATAAATATAAACATAATTTGGCATAGGTTTCTCCTTGTCTTCTCTCATATTTGCGAAACAGAAATTGAGCTTAAAAAACAAAATAAATATAAGCAGGATAAGAATCTCCTTCTAGGCAATTGGGAATGATGTGGTAAGAGAGGGGCGAGAGGCGCAGGAGAGGGGCAAAATCACCAAATGCTTTCCAAAAAAATCAACTACAACAACAATAGACTTAAAGCAAGACTTACAGGCTACAACATATTTGGAATTCGACTTTAGAAAAGCCATTTAGATGTCTGGAGAATTTCATAAATAGTACAAGATATCTATATCTTATATTAGATATATATATATCTGTATATATATACTTGTGTGCAAGCACTGCGCTGCACAGCTCAGTTATTGGCTTGTCAATTGCACACACGCACACACACACACACACGCACACAAAGTTTGCCTTGAATAAAAAAATTGTGCTAAAAAGTTTTTAACATGTAAATGCAAAAATTGCGCTACGACTTGCCAGTTGAACTCTATTTAGCCTAAGTTGCTAAATAACTATATTATATATGTATATCTAGATATATTTAGTATTTAATGTGCTATGTGCTATGCCTAGAAGACTTAGATCTACTGTACAACAGTCGTTCTCTTTCTTGCTTGTGCGCTTACAAACTAATTTCACTATGTTTATCGCTTCAATTGAAATCAAGACATACAAAATGAATATTCAGATAAATAATTCGTATCGTGTGTGTGTGTGTGTCTGGGTGTGTGTGTGTGTGTTCATGTCGTTGCTTCAGTTAAAAGCCATGGCAAACACTCTGCTAATGCCTATTGCTCAACTCTCGCGGGCCGTGAACTCTGCTTAAAAACTATGAATACGTCTACTGCTGCTGCGGCTGCTGCTGGTGCTGCTTCTGCTGCTTCTGCTGCTGGTGCTGCTTGTGCTGCTTCTGCTGTCCAGCAATACGGTGCCCTTTGCATAAAAGTAGCCTCACAACTTGCTGCTGTCGTAGTTCTCCAGCATCCAATGCTGGCGCAGATGCGACGCATCGCACTCCTCCATGATGAGCTTGTCCTTGCTCTCGTTTATGGCCAGGCACTTGCCCGAGGAGCCGTGGTGCAGCAGCTTCGTGTTCTCATGATATGTCCAGAACTGAAAGGCCAGAGAATGTTCAGTTAATTGTATATGTACTCAATGCGATAGACCATATACTCACCTGGTTGCCCTTGGAGCCGTGGCAGCCGAAGAGTATCACGTCCTTGCCCGCATAGTCCAGGCAGGCCTGATCACGACGTATTTCGCCCGTTTTGCTAAACATCCAGTACTAGATGGGTGGAAGGAGCACAAGTGAAGTAGAAGAAGAAGAAGAAGATGTGGTATTAAAACAAATTGTGACAGCAAGTGCTAGAAATTGTTGCATAACGTTTAAGCCAAGTAGCCGCATTACTTAGTATTATTTAATATTAAATTAAATGCCAAAAAGCTGCTACCAGTCCACAGTCTGTCTGTGTGTTCTTCTCTGTGTATGTGTGTGTGTGTGTTGGTCTGTGTTTTGTCTGTGGCTTTGCCATGATTTTTTATAATTTGAGCCATGTTGCCAGCAGCTGGCCGGGTCTGGCCTCGCCTGCCATGGCCTTTGTTCTGGTCATGGCCTGCACGGCCGCCATTTTGTTGTGTGTTAGCATTTCCGCTTCCGCCGCCGCTGCCGCTGCCGCTGCCTCTGCTAACCACGCTGATGATGTTGGCCACGTGAATGCCGTTTCGGCCTGTTTATTGTGCCTCGGCTGCACACATTTATAATGTTGCAACATTATTTCGTTGCGCCGACATTTGCTCTTGCCGAGCGCCAAACCAAACCAAATCCAGCCCAAATGGCATTTGCGGAAATTGGTGAAAAGCAAAAGTTGAGGCTGCTGCTTGTGGTAAGGTGCCAGATACCCTAACAAAGCCTAGGGCTAACATTGAAAACTATATTTTATATTTAAAATTGTTATTCTATAACTATTCTAAAAATAACTAAGAATTTAAACAATTTCAGTATGATGCAATCTTTTCTATTCAGCTTTAGTTCTCTTCATACTAAATACTCCTAAATAAATATTTAATGCTTGGGTAAGCTGACAGATACCCTAACAAAGCTTTGCTCCAATGAAAAGCATGGAAAATTATTTTATAAGAAAATTAATCAAGTTCTTTAACTATATTTATCTAAGTTTTTTATTTGCATATGCATTTTCTTCTTTCTTCCTCTTTTTTATAGCACTTTAGCTTCCTGTTAATTCAAAATTTCAACTCAAATACTCAATACTCAAATACTACACAAACTAAAATTGTTAAAGTTTTGCGCTGGCTGTTCGCTTAGCCCCAGGCTTCACTGTATATTTACTTTTCACATTTTTACTCTCGTCTTGCCGCATATGTGCCCACCCCCCGCCTTCCCCATGCCACGCCTCTCTTATCGTCTCTTTGTATTTGCCCTTCATTTGCTCAGCTTAAACATGCATTTCCCTCTTAAAAACCCATTCCAAGGATTTTCTTTTGGTAATACTCTTCCTCCTCGTCATCCTCTCCTTTTTATTTTTATTTTTATTTTTTTCCTGCAGCGTGTTACATTTTTAATTATGTGTGTATCTTTTTCATTCACATTTAAACTCTTCTTCATTTTTTTCTTGCCTCTGCAGTTTGTATTTTTTTTCGGTATTTTTAAAAAATGCATTCGCGAACTTTTAGTATTTTATAAGCGCCTCGTTTCAGCAGAAAACGAAAATTAAAATGGAATTTTTTTTCATTATATAGCGCGGGTTTTGCTTTCGTGTTTGTTGGTGTTGTAGTTGTTGTTGTCGCTGCTGGGAGATCCTTTGACTAGTCAAAAGAATTGTGCAATGGCTGCAGCCACTCCCACAACACCCAGCCGCCCTCTTTTTTCGTTCCTTCTTCCTCTTTTTGCATTGCCAGCGAAATTAAAATTTGCCACGCCCACACATTTTAGTGTGTGTCCTCAACGCTGGCAAATGTTGATTATTTTATTCAGTCGCGGGCCAAGCTGAGTTTCATGCCCCTTAATAGTGCGTGATGTGGGGTATATTGGCTGGACTGGAGCTAATCTGGAGCGATACTTGAATTTGCATGCGTGAATGGCTGCGAGTTCAGTTTACAGGGTATTTGGGCAGTCGATAATCCAGGTGCTGAGCGCCTTTGCTACTTGTTTCGTTTCTTTGCAGCGCTTTGTTGCAATGCCACATAGTGCTGCAGCTTGGCGTGGGGCCGGCCTGGGTGGCGGCTGGGCGGTGGCTGCGCTAGGCGTGGCAAAACAGCCGCCTGGCGATTTCTCGTGCGTTTTTTGTGCGCTGCACGACGGCGTGCAACGAGGTCAACACTTTCCATTTAATGTTGAATAAACAACATAGAACCCACCGCAAAATGTATCTGTGTGTTTGAATGCACATATATATATAAGCGTGTCTTCGTGTGTGTATGTGTGTGTTTAGAGTATTTCGTGCGCCTGTCTGTCTGTCTAGCTGTCTCTGTGTGTGTGTAGATATTTGATTCGTGTGCAGTTTTTGTTGTCGAAATGTTTGTTATTAAATGTTCGTGAAATTGTCACAGTTTTTGCTGTTGCATTTGTTGCTGCTGTTGTTGCTGGTTGTGTAAAGTGCTCACACACACAGACAGACAGACAGACAGAGCCAACGTGAAGCTGGCAAGAGCAAAGCCATGGAAATGATTTATCATTTTTGTCATTTTATTTATGATTGCGATTTAATTAATTTTGCAACGTGGCATAAATCTCAATTCCCATTGCATGTGTGACTTTGTGTGTGTATGTGTGTGTGTGTGTGTGTGTGTGCGTGTGTTTGTGTCATTTCCTGTATGATAGTCAATGCAGTTTGTACGCCCTTTTGGCAACGTTTTCTTCCAATTTGTTGGTAAATACTTTCGCTCTGGCTACGGCTAAAAGGCGAATGCGTTAAGTGCCAAAAACTTGAACAGAAAGTTGAGGCAAAAAAGAAAAACAAAACAAAACAAAATAACATTTGCTTGAACCACAAACTCCGTGAAATTAGTGCTCAAAACCGCAGGACTATCAAAATATCTTGTAAATTAGACGAGTACGGGGAGGTTGATACTTTGAGGGGACACAATTTTGACAAGGTCCCACAATCAAGGTCAGAACGCTTTGGGGAGAACCATTTTCAAAATTCAAACGGGTTTTATACATATATAGAATATAGACAGACAATGAATATCAACCTTAAGAAGACTCTGAAAGTGTTTTTAGTTCTTATATACAATAGAATCAGTAAACTTTAGTTTGAAGAAAACATTTACTTAAAGCTGCCGAAAGATAAGTTTGGCATTCAGAGTCGAGAAAGAAAAGTCAAGAGCCCAAAATTATAAACTATACTTATAAGTAACATATAGAAGTATGCAAATGCTAAAAAACTTTAAAAAATTTTTAGTATATTACTAATTTTGGAAAATATATTAAATAAACATAATTTTATATTAGTCAAATGGAAACACAAAGAAATAAAATAAAATCATAGTAAAATATTATGCAAAACAAACAGCAAATATTATTTACATATAAAAATGGATAAATATAAAATAAAATTTTAATGGTATTTTTTTATATTTATGTTAAGTAAAAAAAATAAATAAAAACAGAAATAAGAACAGAACGTAAAATAATTTGTTTTACAATGCACGTCCGCATTTTACGTTAGCTCTAAATCTTGACTGAGTTGTACGAGAAAAAAACGTTTGCTTTTGATGTGTAATAAATATAGATGTTAAATATTTGAATACGTGATTCACTTGAAAAAGAGTATATCTGCCAAGATCTTTCTCAATTAACAAGTTTTCCTTAACTGGTTTCTTCTTTAACCATCTCCCAATAACAACGTAGGAGGGTCTAACAATACCCAACACTGTAGCATTAAAAGTCAGAGAGCCTAGTACAATATATTGTATTAGAGCTGTTTGTAATCCAAATGTTAGGCATTCAAGTCAATAAATATATGTACAAATACCGGTATCAGTATGGTGTTTAGCTAAGTCCAATGGTTAATCAAGCAAGCGCAGGTCTAGCTACTAGATATAACTATAAGCAGAAGGTGGACAAAGCACTCGAGAGAGAAAGAGAGAGAGCGAGGCCAAAACAGTATATATTTAAGATATACAGCCGAAACCAATGCAATAATAGCATATAGTATATATACATATGTAAATATATATATACATATATATATATAGGTGAGTGATAGATCCCAAGCAAAAATGCGTAACGATGTACGGTGGGGGCGAGAGGCAATGATGGATGTTGAATTGGATACCTGATGTCCTCCTTGGCCATGGCACTCGTAGACACCGACAGGGTCTTCTTCCCCGGTCTTTGGGGTATCGATGCACATGTTCGTATTAATGTTTCTTATCTGCAAATGAAGTTTAATTTGTCATATGTGCGAAGGAGATAACGAGAGAAAGAGAGATAGAGAGACGGATACAATAACATTTGATGGCCGACAAACAATATTAGAAAACGGACAGCAGCTGGGTTATCGTTATCGTTATCGTTATTGCAATCTGGCAACGAGATGTTAGAAAGTATCGACCCTTGTGCCATAAATATACATTTTAGTCAAATTAGTAAAGGTTTTGTCTGGGAGAATTCGAGTTACGCAATCTGTACACGGGCTCGACAGAGAGGGGGAGCTATTAATATATAACACATGGATGTATCTTAACGGTTTTGTGCTTCAACGGAGTTTGTGGCGGTCGCAGTGCTCTGTTGCATTGTGCTGTTGCTGTTGCTGTTGCTGTCGCTGTTTCCATTGGTAACAAACCTGATTGCCGCCTTGCCGATGGCAAGGATACAGACCGACGGGCTTCTTCAGGTAGCGCTTGCCCGAGGGCGAGTCCAAGCAGGTGCGACCGCCATAACCTAAGTTCCTCATCTGCGAAATGGGGAAACATAATATGTATGTGTACGTGTGTTTGTGTGTATCCATAAAATTGGCACATTAATGGGTTAGTCGGAAATAACGAACGGGGTAGGTCTGGGGGCCATATCTCAGTTATACAGCCATTCTCCACATGCCACATGCTGAACAATAGCCGCGTGTTTCCCTTCGCGAATCGTAAACTGTGCAACTTACCTCGCCATTGGCCACCGCATCGCCGGGTATGAAGAGCTCCGGATATACGTTGTCCAAATACCACTTGAAGGACTTGCATTGCAGATCCTCACTGTTGATAAAGTGGGGGCAGATTGAAGTTAATTACAGTGTTGTCAGCTATATAAATGGAGGGTATAATCTGCTATCGCTAGATACGTTTTAAGCTGCTGAAACTATTATTAACTCTGTACATACTAAATTTGAGTTTTGATGTGGACTTTGTACACGTGATTATAGAAAATATATATATGAGTAAGTTAGCTCTAGACTGGGAGCGAGTGACTGGGAGATACTCTGAGCCATGCCCTTTGAATGATTGTTTCAAGGCACAACATTCACAATTAAAAACCTATTGTGAAGCAGTTGTATAGAATTTAAATAATCAAATACAAAATAATACAAAATCTAAATATATATAGACATTATTAATCTGAGTATCGATAATATGTTTAATCGATAACATTATAATTGGAATATTTATCAATTATTTTAAGCAAACTTGTTCTGCGAGCTCTAAAGTAAAGCAAGTCTATAGGTTCTGAGATTGAACAGGGCTAAATAAATCGTCGCATTTATATTCAGGTGTCATTCCTACAAAAAATATATGTAATTTAAAATATATGTATTTAACAAAACCATTATCACATGTATAAATTTCTCGGTCCCACTTACACTTACTCTATTTTTTGTCTCTTTCTCTTATTTGTCACTTACATGTCTATTGAATTTTAACTTCCTTTACCTTCGCTGGCTTATATTCTTTCATTTCATTCACCTATATTGAAGATAAACTCCTACAGAAAATATATTAAATAACAAAATAAACTAAAACTCTCTGTATTTCTGCTTCCCCATTCAATTCACAATTAATTTATATCCCATCCTATCTAATTAAATTTACCTTCCTATATTCATTCTTATTGATATATTTAAAATATAAAATATATTTGAGGTCTCTTAATTTGACTTTAATGAGTCAGTTCCACTCCATCTTGTTTCATTCTCAACTTCCTGTATTCCATTCAATTCACAATTAATTTATCTATCATCACATCTATTTAACTGTACTTCCCCTTGCTGTTCTTGACCTAAGCATTAGCTAAAACTTCCACTGATACCATCAATCGGCTGTACAATCTATTAGGGGTCTTTGTTGCATTTTTCACTCTACTTACCGCAGCTTCTTGCGCTCGCTAACGTCACCAAAGTCACCTTTATCCATGCCAATGCGCTGATAGTAGTACTTGGCGTAATCATCCATCCAGACTTCAGCCAGACGAACCGAATTCTTTTTCAGCACATTCACGCCCGTGCGCCACTGAAAGCGAAAGAGATGCAGAGAGCGGAGATAAGGACAGAGGTATTTACATAGCAACAATTGGGCTGCAACTGACAAACGACAGCAAAAAAAACAACAACAACAACACAGGGCACGGCGCCAAAAGCCACAGAAAATATTTGGCAAACAAACAAGCAGCTCTCGTACAATGGAGTCAAATCTGAATCTGGAGCAGGAGCTGGATCTGGAGCTTATAGCAATACCTCTTATATGTGGGGTGGGCGGTGCCAGGCAGCCTAATTACCTGAATGAGCCCGTTTCACTCATGTGTACCAACTTCTGCTGGTTGTCCACTTGCTACTGCTACCGCTGCTGCTGCTGCTGCTGCCGCTGGCTGTTGCGGTGCGTCTCTGTGGTTATCTGTCTTCACCAACCACAGCTTCGCTCCATCTCACTCTCTCTCTCTCTCTCTCTCTCTCTCTCTCTCTATGTATTGTCTGCCTCCTGGCCTATGTTTGCCATTGTGCTTGTGTATTGTTCTTGTTTATGCGCTCGCTGTCTGCACTCTCTGAGTGTGAGTGAGAAAGTCTCTGTCGTGTGTGTGTGTGGGTGTGTGTGTTGCCCTTGCCTGCTCTGTGAGAGGCTTGCGGTTTATATGAAGTAGCTAAGGCCAGAGGCAACTTAAAGACTCGCTTCAAATAGCAATTCACTCTTTAAGAAATCATCGATTATTGTAAATACAGTGATACATTTGAGACTTAATCGATGTAAATCGTGTGAATATTCGAAGCTCTTCATTTCATTTATTATTATAAATAAATCAGATTATAGTATATTTGATTGTCTATTTAATTATTTGTTATTATTTATAAATCGGACTATAATCTGATGTATTTAGTTTCCTATTTAAGCTACATATTTCGAATTTAGGATATCGATTCGTTATTGATTATGATGATAAGATTTATACAAAAGCTTTACCACCCTAATACTCGTGTTAGATTGCTATCGATTAAAGAAAGTTTGATATTATTAAAAAAAAAAAAAAAAAAAAAAAAAACTATTGCCTAGATGAGGATATACACTGCACACATATACTGTGTTCAGTGGGTAATATTTTATTTGGATCCTGCAGCATTTCAGCAAGTATTTTGAAAGAAATTCGTTGAAAAGGCTTCCAAAAATGATTGCTAAATATTGCTAAATCACTGGGATGCCAAATTCAATCAATTATAGCCAAATAGGTATATGTATAACTTGAGAGTATGTTTTGCGGCATGCAATGCATGCAGTTCAATGTAAAATATTTATGAAATGAAATTCGTATCGATTTATAATGCATTTTCAAGCACAACTTGTAAAAAGTTACAAAATTTAAATAGATTTGATTGTCGATATACGCTAAAAGCATATGAATAACTCTACGAAGTTGGACAGCTAGTTTCCCATCTATTTACACAGTTTAACTGCGGAAGTTGGATGGGAGCCTTTGTAGAAAATGTAAATGGATCTGACTGTCGCTATGTGCTTCAAGCATATGCATAACTGTCAAAGTTCGAGCTCCGTTTGCCATACTTCGATACAGTCAAATTGCTGAAGTTCAATTGGAATTTTGGCCACAAAGTTCGAAAACATGGCGAGATGATGGTGCGCCCCAGTCCTAATGGCCCATTTGCCCACAAGCATTAGCATTATCTGCTTTTATGAGATGCTCAATAGGCTGCAGCCCACCACCCAAATTTGATGTCATTTTCGGCAGCTTATTGGCCGTCTCTATTGCGACTGGCATGTGGCATGTGCCATGTGGCGAGCAGCGTGCAGCGTGCAGCGTGTGGCGTGTGGCAGGTATCTATACAGTTCGTTGCAGCTTAATGCATGCCATACACAACAGTTGCCAAACTTTTGTCAAGCGTAAACCGTTGATAATTGAGGCAGCAGCCAAAGACTACGGCACAGCGGCCGCAGTGGCCGGCCCAGGCATGTCCTTGCTGCTAGTTGCAGTCCCTGTCGAGCTTCTGGTTTGCCGTGTTTATGTCCTGCAGCTGGCACAGCCACTCGCTGCGGCTAGCATGTGCGACATGTGCACAGAGGGAGCCACTGTTGGGCCACTGTTGACCAAACACGGACCTTGGGCCACACACAACACAGAGAACACAGCACACAGCACACACTCACAGCAAACAAACAGCAGACACACACACACTCATCGTGGCTGGTTGTGTGTGCATAAGTTTTTAATTCTCAAATGGTTTGCTTTCGCATTCTGCTGTAGCGTTAATGAGAGGCCCGGTCTGGACACTTACCTTGTAGGGGGAGCGCTTGCGGAATATGTGGCCCACATGGGAGCAGGGCACAATTTCGAGAGTGCCGCCGCACATCCAGGTCTTGAAGGACAGCTCCAGATTCTCGCCGCCCCAGATATCAAAGCCCGAGTCGTAGGTGCCCAGCCGTTCGAAGAACTTGCGGTCTATCGAGAACAGACCTCCGGCCATGGTCGGCGAGTAGACGGGCTCCGATGTGCTCTGCAAATAAATGAGGAGAAAGGGAACAAACATTTCAGTATAAACAATTTGCTGACCAAACTAATGAACAAATATTTAACAAGTCTGTTGGCCCAGTGCACTGGCATAAGCACATTTAATTCCCCTAACTGAAAGCCGGACCAACTGAAGCGTTGGCTCGCTCGGCATCTCAAGTGGCCAACACCTAAGCAAACTTATAAAGCCAGCCTGAGCTCCAGCTGCAGCTCCAGCTCCATTTGCAGCCCTTTCGTTGTGCAGCATCTGTGGAATTCTGTTTTTCCGATACTTTCAGCAGCTTGAAAACTCTTGAGGCTACATTTTATTTCGTACATATTTCCCTAAGTTGTTTCGCACCAGCTACATGACTCATTCTCTATCTCTTTGTCGGCACTCTCTTGTTTTGGATTTCCACAAATTTTGCTTGTAATTGAATATTTTGTGCTTTATATTTACTTTGCTTTCACTGCTGCTTCTCCTGCTACTCCTGCTGGTGCTGGTGCTGGTGCTCTTCTCTGACCAGCTGGCGTACCACTTGCTCTGCTCGAGCACATCTTTTGGCACATTTTGCATTTAATTGGAGAATTGCATTTCGTTTTCATTGCAATTTAATTACAATTTTTGCTTGTTTTGCAGCAACCAACCAGCAACCAGCAGCCAGCAACAAGCAACAGCTGCTTGCAGTTTCATGTCGGTCATGCCGAATAATTAAAAATAAATATCAAATTTTCTCTCTTCGTTTGCCGCACACAAATGAGTGGTAAACAAAAACATTACAAACGTCAATAATTTATGAAGACTGAAAACAATTTTAATAAACATGAGCTAATGGCGATTGTATTTCTCTTTCAGCAAATTATTTGAACAATTTTATAACGATTTCATTATGCATAACAGACAGCAGCCCAGAGCGATGCAAATCACACGCAACATTGCGTATACGTAATGTGATATTCAACTGACAGACAGCTGGCATAAAGGAAATGTGAATCAACAAAGGCAACAAGAGAAACTCTCTTGTCAAACAACCCACAAATTCAAACAATTACAAAGCAAATCGAGCACCGTGACAAGAGGCAGAATTTTTAATATTCCACATAAAGCTTGAAAAAATAATGAAAAGATTTAGTTTCTGTTGAAAAGCTTTTTTCTTTTCTTATTTTCGTAAATGGCAAAGGGTTTCCGCTTGTGAAAGCTTACCTAAAAAAATTCGCCTAAAGGTTTTTTCTTTTTTAATTGGTGCAAGACTAGCCGTTTGTGAAAGAAAGTCTTGCTTAAATTACTTTTTGTTCAATTAATATTGACTTAAAGCTTCAGCAATGTTGAATATATATTTTAAGATCCAACTACAAGCAGAACTAAGTTATACTAAGAACTTGTATATTTACGATATACACTGATCATAGGACTCAAATCATCAAAGCCGAGTGTCCAGCTAACTTAAAGCTCTTTTAAAGAATGAGTAATGCTTAATGTTTAAAAAAAGCTGACTTTATGCAAAAGCTTATAAGTTGAAACTTAACTTGTATCCAAAAATACTTCTTTCGAAGATGTTAGGTAATTAAAAATAGAATTTATTTGGTATAATTCATCAATCAATTAAAATTCTGTGCTACAAAGATAACTTAAAGCTCAGTCAAAACAGTTGAATTTACTTTTGTTAACGTATAGCAAGTTCCTTTGTAATCAAGGTTGAGCTGAGAGCACTCCACATGCGGGCGGCATGTGGACAAAGTAAACAAAATTCTAAAAAGTCGACGAAGTTTGATTTTGCTTTTAGAGAGACGAAGACAGAGAGAAGCGCAAAATAAATGAAATTGTCACCGAGTGACTGCCTGGGGAGTTGTCAGCAGTGCCTCGGCTGCTGCGTGGGCATGGGCGTGGTCGAGCTGCGGGCGTGGATGTGGAGCGTGTCGTATCGCTAAGCAACTAAAAATATGTTACTTAAAGGCAGCGACAATAGAAAATGCAGCAGCAACAAGAGACAAAAGCCTGGCACAAGGCACAAGGCGCAAGGGGCAAGGCACGAAGCACGAGGCACAAACAAGCAAACATCAGGCGAATACTGAGTGAAATCTCCAAACGCGACAAGTGCCATTGTGTGAGTGTGTATATGTGTGTGTGTGCGTCGCGTCATGGCCAGGCCGGAATGCCAGACGGATGTCAGATAGTCAAGGCAAGCGACGAGCTGCAGCTAGGGGAGGATAGCGTAGGGGAGAATGCAGCGGCCAGGAGAGCTGGAGCTGGCTAAAGCTATGCCTTTGGCGGCCGTTGGCAAATTCGCAGTGTGACATTTAATAAACGCTGCTGGCACAAGACAACAATAAAAGAAATAGAGAGAAAGAGAGGGAGGCAGGGAGAACGGGGTTGGTATAGAAAGGGGTAAAATAACAACAAAAAACAACAGTTTTGTAGGCAAATATAAGCAGTCGTGAGAGGAAGAGAGAGAGGGGAAGAGGCTATAAGAGACCAACGGAAGCGGACGGCCATTTTGTTGTTGTTTTTCATTTTATAAATATATATATATATATATATATATATATATATATACATATATACGTATAGATATTTTTTTTTGTTGCTGCCGCCGGAAGTGACAGAACAAATGGCAAAAGTGAAAAACAGCAGCAGCAACAACAACAACAAACACAGCCTTCAGCTGAGTGTGAGTGTGTGTTATGTATGCATGTGTATGTAAAAGGATTTTATTGTTATAGTTGCGTTTCTTTTCAGTTTTGTGTGTGTGTGTGTGTGTGCTCAACATCCTTTCATTTTTTGTGGATATTGGGTTTATTCTAGACAGGGTATGCGGGGCAGCTGATATACTCATTTAATGAATGAATTATGTAAATAGCTATATATGACTCTGTTATCATATAAATATTAACTGCGCTCACGCCAGCATAAATTATATGGAAATCAATTTCTGTGCAACTGCAGGGTATTCAATATTCGTTCACATTGCTCGCGGTTGGCCATTTGGTTTTGTTTCATGCGCACAGGAAATTGAAGTAAAAACGAAAATAAGTTTCTTGCGAAAATAAACTGAAATGAAATAAAATTCAGCGCTGAATAAATAAATAAACACCAAAAAGATGGGGAAAATTGCAGTTGCACTCTCAGCGGCACTCACTCTGCCATTCTGCCACTCTGCCACTCTCTGTGGCATGTGGCCATGTGGCATGCTACTGTTGCGCTGCCAGTTGCAGTTGCCGTTTTATTCTTGCTGTGTAAACAAAGTCGCATAACTTTTCGCTTTTGCCATACGTCGTCAACGTTCGCATATAATGCGGCTTAAATGATTCAACAACGGATAAATATGGCTACTTTTTTCTGACATAAGTGTGTGTGTATGTGGAAGCAACAAACAAATCATATAGAGTGCAGCCAGCGGCATGCGGCATATGAAATGAGCTTGTTTGCGGCTGCAAGAAGTGGATGCCCGTCAGGCTCAAGGGCTCAATGGCTCAAAGGCTCAAAGGATTCACAAGGCCCAAGGCCCGAGACTGCCTTTCAGCACTTGTGTTAAAATTCACTTGATTTATAAAACAATCAATCAATTTTTATATAGATTTTCCCCAAACAAAGACCTCAGTCTTAGCATAGGCAATCAGAAGAGAGCTCTAACTGAAGTAGGCAAGTCAAAGACGTCGTGATTTATATAAAGATACCCTGTTAAGGCAATTGATGTCTTTAGATGAAATATACGAAATATCCTTAGGCCAATTGCAACTAAATTATGGCTCGATCTCGGCTCGATGGAGACATATACTTCAATTTAATCTTATGGAAATTATTCTCTTAAACTGAATTTATATTATGCTATTATACTTGAGCATTTTTTCCCTTATATTGTAGGTTCTCTAAATTTCAATATATCAACTTTATATTTCTCTAATCCATAATTGAATTAATGGCTCTGCAGATAAGCCGATAATTTCTTTTACTGCTCTGACGCCCCTACATAATGCAAATGCTCCAGTGAATTTATGGCCTTTGAGATGTCGCAATTGATTTCTTGTGGCAAATCTTAAGCTGCTGGCCAAACTCAAGGCTACCCGTTGGCTCTGCTGTCTGCTGGGTATGTTAAGTGGTGCACATTTCTCACATGGCTTCAATGCGGTGCGTAGCGACAGCCTATTTAGATATCAAATAAATCTAGCGGCATTTATTATGCCACACAGTGACACAATTTTAGCTGAAAAATGACGGGTCCTTTGGCCGCCAAAGCCATTCGTCAAGAGCAGAACGGACAGCGTAGAAAGAGACAGAGAGATATAGGGAGAGGTGGGGAGACCTTGAGATTGGGGAAGTAGCGAGTGGTTTACTAGAAAATCCTTGCGGAATCCGTCGCCGTAGGCAACCGCAAATTAAGCAGGCGAAAACGAAGAAGTGGCCCAGTTGCGTGTGTGTGTGTGTGGATGTGGGTGTGGATGTGGGTGTGTGTGTGTGATGAACAGGCGCCGCAATGAGTGCTATGGAAATAATGTGCTAACCTGCGGGCTGCCAACAACAACAACCACAACCAACAACAACAACAACAGCAGCAGCTACAGCCACAGCCACATTAATATCAAATAAAACAGTCACGAAAAACAGCAGGAGGCGCCAAAAAAAAATATGCCCAGGAATATCGTAAATGTCAGCCTCGCATTATGCGGCAAAGTGGCAAGGAAGCGGGCGGGGGCACAGCCGAACGCAAATAGCTTGCAGGCCACGCCTCTCTTCGGGCCACCATGGGGCAGGGCAAGAGCAGAGAGTGCCTGCAGGCCGAAGCCTCCCAGCAGCAGCCTGCAGCAACAAAAATGTTAGGGAAAATACGTGAAGAAAAGCTCGCAGGAAGGAAAAATGCTGCTTGACATAATGTGAAGTTGACTTTTGACAAGTGCTCCTAGACACGCCCCCTCCACCACTCCACCACTCCACCACCACTGCAGCTAACACAACACACACGCACTCATACAGTTGTATCTCTGCAGCTTAAAGTGTCGCTCGGCGGGCGG